GGCTGGTGCCCCTCTTGTTTGCAGCTGGATTGCATCTGGGGCGGGACAGTGTTAATTAGAGCTGCAGTTGGCATCTTCCAGGGGACTTCTTAGGATGGGAGAGTATGCTCCAGCTCAGCTGCCCTCACTGCACCAGGGCTGGCTGAAGTAAGAGGCAGTGGGGTTTGCATGTTGAGGAAGGATTATCTTGTGTTTAACACAGAGACACCTAAGAGAGGAGAGATTTCTATTTTAAAATAGCAGAGCACCTTGGGGTGTATGTCATGTCAGTTTCTATATATTCCCTGGATTTGCTGGAAGGAATACACATGGGGGCTCTTTGCCAATATGTAGTTTTACACATCTCCCAGTGAACTCGGATTCACGCAGCAATTGGGGACTTCAGAGAGAGTTGTGAGATTTTCTGGGGGATTTGGATTGAATTAGATTTCTCAAGTCACATGGGGGTCTTGCTAGGACATGTTATAAATATGAATTATAAATTGTTGTTTGGGAAAATGGTGTTGAATCTACTGCCTCCCACCCTTCTCTCTTTTTGCAAGTGTGTGTCTTGAAGGTGTATTTCAGTGGAGTTTGTGGACAGATTGAGTGGGCTGTAACAACCCAAAATGTTTCCCATGTGTGGAAAAGGGCTGGACAAGGTGTGTCTTGGAATCCTCCAGCAAATTCCTCATATAGATGGGCACTGTTGCATGAGTTGAGAAGTTACAGGTCCTGGAGGGCTTAAAGAGCAACATTTACAGCCTGCAAAGGAGTGAGCAACAGTGACTGTGGCAATGAAAACATTGCAAGCCCACAGGTTGGATGATGGGCTTTCTGTGAGGGTGTGCTCATGTCTGTAAGAGCAAGACATAGACTTGTCCTGAGGGTGCTTCTTGCCTCCCAGGAACTGGAGTCCTCCAAGCCAACTGCTTATGTCAAAGTGGTGTAACCACTGCTCTGTTTATAAAACCCAGCAAGCACTGATCAAACTGTAAATTTTCTGTAATTTGTTCAGCCAGACTTTTTTTTTCTCCCTCTTTAACTGTTGGGTTACTACCATATTAGCTGCTATTGCTTGACATCAAATTTAGTAGCATGGTCTGTATTTTTAAATACTTTGTATTGTTATGATGTCTCTCTTTCTTTATCCTCTCCTTTTCTCATGGAAAAAACAGCAGAGAAGTTTAAGAAATTCTCTCAGAATTACACAATTTTTTTTCTGAGAAAGTATGTATTATTTTTAGTACCACTTAAACTTTTTCCCCCTCCTTTTGCTATGTTTTAAGAGACATATTGCTGTTCTTTTGCCCTTTCCCTGCTGCCTAGAGTATTTTTAAAAAAATAGTTCAAGAGGGCATTGCAGACTTGTTAAATCTGAATTTTGGCAGAAAATTTTAAACTTTTGCTATAGCACTTCAAAGTTAGGAGGAACTAGAGTTTGAAAATTGATGCAGATATAAGATGGCATATTTAATGACAGATGTATCTATAGAAACCTGTTAAGATGCAGATTATCCCCCTGGGGAGGGGAGATCAAAACTGCCAATCTATAAAATATACTTGTTAGGGGAAGGCATGGAATCTATCTCTGTGAGCACTTTGATTGCAGGGGACAGTGTAGCAGCATGTGGCATCATAACCTAAGAGCAGACAAATCAGCTTGATGACTTTCAAAGCCAAGAATACTGCTGGAGGCAAGGGTACTCCAGTCTAGAAGAAATTAAAACATATAGAGACTGTTATTAATTCCAGATCTATTTTTGTGTAGTCAAATCTGTATGCAAATCCTTAGCATCTCATTTTGGCAGATTAATCTAAAAGTGAAGAGCGGTATGTGAAGGGAATGTAATGACAAAACACCAGAGAGGAGCAATATTGCAGGGGAAAAGATGTAAGCTGTGCACTTGATGTGAGGGGCTCTTTGTGAACAGAAACAAAGAATTTTACTTATTTGCTTATTTTACTATTTTACAAGGAAGCAACACCCTTCTTTCTCTTCTTCCTTCATGTCTTTCGCCCCAAATTAAGGTGTCCTTTTGGAAAGGAAATACATGACCCAGCACTGTGTTTCTGATGTGTCTCCTGTAGTTTAACATTCTGGATGTAATCATCCAAATAACTATGATTTTTGTTTTTCAAAATGCTAATCTGACATCTCATTTTAAACATTGTGCTGGGAGTGAAAATAACTGTATGTAAAAGAAAATCAAATTATAAAACAGATATTAGAAAAGATGGGTTTGTGCTGATGGCTGCTAGGACTGTGGAGGCTGCACGACAGTGCAGAGACAAATAACAGATCGTGAGATTAGACACGGGAGCTGTCATTGCTTTCCAGTGCCTGTTCCTGTGTGTGCACTTCACAGGTGCTGTGATGGGCAGGGTGCAGCACAGTTCGATGGAAATGGTTTGGAAAGACTGCATCCTAGCTCTCTCTGAACCTGTAAGTGTCTCTGAGCTGGGAGTTTGTGCCACTGTCCATGTGTCAGGCCCGGCACAGGTTGGTGCTTGCCGAGATGCACCCAAGTAACAGCATTATTTCTCCCTGCTACTGAATCTGAAGACGACTCTAAAATAGATACATCTTTAGTTTCTGCTATCCATTGATCACATTCTCGGCCTCTCTCAAATTATTTAGAATAATCAGAGGGTACTTCTATGTTAGCAAGTAGCTCAACCCAGTAGGAGCAGATCAGCACCAAACTTTGGTGCCGAGTTCTCTGTATTTACTCCATGTACATGTTCACATCTTTTGCTTTGGACTAGATTTGTTCTGGTCCTCTGGCCCAAATGTTCCCAGTACTAGGAGGGAACAAAGCCATCCAAAAGACCAGTTACTATTTCATACCCTTACGCCACCACTAGGAAGTGGAGCACAGCTGGTGCAAATCTGGAACAGAGCTTCTGGTTTAACTTCAGTGCACACCCGTCCGAACGTACAGCCTAAAATGACACATGAGAGGTGGGGGAATTGCTTCAAAATCACAATATGGCTCTGAACCAAAACTCTGCCCTAGCTGCAGCTGGAAGCTGGCAAAATGAAGATTCCCCAAGATGGAGCTTGGAGATAAAAGAAAAAGAACCAGCAGCAGTAGTGGGAGTAGCTATAGCTCAGCCAGCAAGAACGAGTAGTAGGAATTAGTAGCTGCATAACAGCTTATTGTGTGATCGTGTTGTAGTGTCGGTCATCTTACTAGTATAATGTTAGGGACAGGTGGTAGAGGTTAGACAAGATGGAGTTCTTGTCATACCTCTAAAAGGGAGACTGACGCCTATGGATTTTTTGATTTTTAACTTTTTGTAGATTTTAGGAGTAGCTGTAGTTAGCTCACCCTTTAGCACAGCCCTATTACCCATTTCATATCTAACTTTCTAAATTCCTGTAGCTTGTTTAGACTTCCCTCAAGGTAGGCCTTCTTTCTGTTTAAGAACATTTACACCCTGGCTTGAACAACAAGATGTATCATTGTCAAAGCATCCTTCAAAACCCAGAACTTTGGAGAAGTTCCAAGGACTGGACGTGCTGTGACAAAGAGGAAGATGAGGAAGAGGGGATCCCAGAACCCCCTAACTCAATTCCCAAAGGGGCGTGCTGAGGGGCAGAACTGGGGGGCAGATAAATCTGGGATTGGTTGGGACAATACCTTAAATTGTGGAACCCCCTGGACACAGAGGCATGCATCATATGTATTTCCCTGGGCCTAAGGGCCTAATCAAAGAACCTGTTCTTCTTATCTTATATACTAAATTGGCCTCAAGTTATTTTTTCTGGGGTCTTTTCAGGTGTCAGTTTGGCCATAGCTCAGCCAGCAGGAATGAAAATCACTGTGCTGCTGCCCTGGCTGAAACAGGGTATGTCCTCACAAAAAGAGAAGCATCAACAAATGCAATGACTGATGAAATTCCTTCTACTCATTGCTGTGGATTTTGTCCACTATTGGCACATACCATTAAAACGCTAATATAACAAGTCTGTCTGTCAGTATGAGTCTCACTGGTGTGTGGCCAGTGGCATGCCCTAGTTCTGCCCACACCTCTTGGTAGGATGGTGAGGTGCAGCTTGCAGGTGTTATTTCTGGTCCCACCTTCCCATGGGCCCAGGGTGGTGAGAGAGGGGGACTGGGACCTGTGGCAGTGCTGCAGTGACACTCTTTTCCTAGGAGGTTTGAGCACACTCCAGAACATGTATGCACAGGTAAGATTACAGACTTGACACTGAAGAAGTTTTCTGTGTTTACTCAATGAGATTTGTCTTTTAAAACTAATGGAGGACAGGATGATTGAGCATTAAACGTCTGTTTACTGTGTTAAGGTAAATGGTTTGCAGCATCTACTTGGGTCAGACTCTATTCTAAACTTTTCTGAGGTGCATTATACTTTGCTTTCTGGCTGTTATTGAAAAGTAAGTCTGTTTCTGTCACTATGGAGGAACCTTCCAACCTAAGTCTACAACTAAGCTATGAGATATTCTGTCTACAAACTAAATAGGGTTTCTTTCAAATACATAGCTGAGCCCAGTTGCAGAGGTTTACTCCACGCTGTCCAGCTGGCAGTGGTATCCCACATCATGCTCCTGGTTAGGCAGAGCTTCACTCTGACCTCTTTCTTCTCTGTGATGCAAGCCCACCTCCTCCTCCTTTTTTAACTGTGTCACACTCTGCACACTACTTGGAACAGGGATGGGTTTTATCTTAAGTGTCTTGACTAAGGTTGAATGCACAGTCATTTAAAAACAGATCAGTTTTTATCTCACTTTTAGCCCATAGAATTAGCTTTGCTAAGGAAGTGTGTGTTGGGTGTTAATTGTTGCTATTCTGTGTTTCTCTATGTTTGACAAATAGGGCTACTTATTACCTTGTAACCAGATTAAAAAGTGCAGTGGAATGTAAGCAGAGGTTGTGGTACTCACCGTACTTCTGTCAGCAAATGAACTCTAGAATTGGTTGTTTTGCTGTACCTGATCTTGGTCCTGGTTTTGCTTATATGAAAAAATATAACTTGTGTAAACTCTTTCCTAGGAGGAGTAACAAATACTGCACAGTATCAAAACAGGCTCATGGTCTATGATCCTAAGCAGGTGGGTATCTGTGTTGTATGTTTTTTCTCAAATTTTTTGCTTCAAACAGGTCTCCTGGCAAATACATGCAATGATTTGTAAGGCTAAAAGCACTGACCATTTGAATTAGTGGTGTTTTAAATTCACTGTTTACTGATGTGTGAATTTAGCAGAGTAATGGAGACCCTGATGACTTATTATGTATTTTAAGCCTGTAGGCGTTAGAACCATCTTAGATTAAATACAGAAATGTGCTTTAAATCCCCTGTATTTGTCTGTATTTATTTTGCTTGTTCATTTTATTTTTGTAATCCAGCAGCCCTGGGCAACTTATACTCAAAGTCAGTGTCCCAAAACCGCTCCGTGTCATTGGCATTTCTGCTTTGAATTGCATATATGAGCCTTTTTGTTTCCTGTATATTTTGAGAACTGTACTACCTGGCTGTGACTTACTCTGCTGCCTGCAAGGGTGCCTATCATTTCATTACCCAAGCACCTAAAATATCTTTTAGGGATTATTTCATACATTATGTATGTGTTTTGATTAGGTTAGCATGGCTCAGTAACCATTTCAGAGGGTTAGGGCATGGTTATGCCCTCTTGCTTGTATTAGGAATTAAAAGTCCTAAGCTTGCAATCAGAGTTGCATAGCCGGATTTACACCCATGTGGAAGATTTTGAATTTGCTGATTGTAGGACAGGGGCTTTGATTGCTGTATTTAGAACCAAATTGTGCCAGGAGATACTTGTGTGTCGTTCCCACTGACTTTTTAAAGCGTAGCACATGCAGGGCCTGAAGCAGAAAGCAGGCGATGGCACATCATTCTTTTTGAGGTGCAGTTTTATGCATCGACTGTACAAATGCTGACTGTCCTAAGTCCAAGAAGTAATTACAGGCAGCAATCTTATTTTGCTTATGAGGGGGACACATATTTAGGTACTGTGTCTCTATTGTGTAGCTGTCACTTGGATTCTTTACTTGCTGATGTGAAAGTTGCACCCCAAAATACCATTGGCAGGGCTACTTCAGCGTGCCGTGCTGGCAGCGAGAAAACCGGCCTGGCACGTAAGGAGTTACAGAGGAATTGTGTGCCTGCATTCTTCAAATGAGGTCCGCTTCATGTTTGTACACACGAGCTCTTTTTAAAAATTCTGCTGGCATATTGTTTACGGTGGGTACTGGAAACCATCACATCTGCTTGCATCTCGCACAGAATCTCAATAACTCTATCATTCAGCACCAGCGTTTGCTTCTGCGCGAGGCCTTTGTGGCGAGTCGATAATGCCTGCCATCTGCCACAGAGCACACAGCTACCTGCCAACAAGCCGGCTGGGGTGACCTCTGCTTCCCCACCACTGATTAGTATTCACACACCGGCTTATTAGAAATGACCCCACTAGGCCCCTCTGTTTCTTTGCCTTTGCAGCGCTTTGCGGCTCACCTGGCAGGCACTGCAGTGGAGGAAGCTAAAGATATAATCAGGGGATGCAGGCAGGCTTTCCAAAGCAGATGGTGTCTATAGTCTGGTGTTAAGAGACTGGACTACTAATGCAATCATTAATGCCTAATATTCAACTATTACACATTGAAATGTATAGCTATATATTGTGGAGGTTAAAAGGCAGAAGTTTTAGAGGCTCTCGAGTTACCACAAGTGGTAGCACATGTGTCACAAAGAATTTCCTCACAGATTTTAACTTCCTCCACTTAAATTAATCTCATCTGTTGCCAGGTTGTTTGATTTGGTAAGCAGAGCAGGAGCAATTGTTTTCTTGGGTTTAAATACTGTGCTTTAATCCCTTATCTTCCATGTCTTCTTGCTTCTCCCCATAACAGGTAGAATTCCTGAAATATTGTTAAGGAGCAATAAAAATATGCAAAAGGATGTTACTTTGTAAGTTCCCAAAAATAAAGGGTTAACATTAAACCAAATACATGAATCATTTGAGAAGATTGTTTAGGAAATTATTTTTCCTTGTTTCTTCATTCCCCAAGGATAAGATCAAATAAGCTTCTGAATAAAGAAATGTAGAAGAATCTCTTGTCTCATAACAGAGCTCATTGGTACAGATAATTCTAGCACTGTATACAAAGCAGACATCTAATAGTCAGTCTTAAGTAGCATTTGCTACTGAGTTATAAAGGAAAAAAAAGACTTTTGAAAGCTGATGAGCTAGGCAGAAATAATACAGAGCAAGAACTACTATTAAATTAATGAATTTAAATCTGAGAACTGTTAACCACACGTTGAAAGTCCAGTACATCTAGTCAGTATTATAACCAGCACACGTCCAGCTTATGAACAACACAAGTATATGCACTTGTGATTCCCGACCAAGGGTAAGAAGAACATCAGTAACGTGCTGCTGTTTCTTGTACTACTCATACAGGTGTGTCTTTGAGCAGTGCTGAGACAAGTTCTCTCTTCCTCTTTCCAGAATAAGTGGTTAAGCCGTAGCCCAATGTTGCAGAGGAGAGTGTATCACTCCATGGCAGCTGTCCAAAGGAAACTTTATGTGTTAGGTGGGAATGATCTCGACTACAACAATGATCGGATCCTGGTCCGGCACATAGACTCCTACAGCATAGATGCTGACCAGTGGACACGTTGCAACTTCAACATGTTGACAGGTGAGTATTGAACACCAGAAGGGGAACTTGCTACTGTTGAAGAGAAACACCAGTTCTTTTCCCTTTAGATGCCTTTAGAATTTGGAACTACATGACTTTTGCTACAAATTGTTTCTGATTTATGGGCCGTCGTCAGCCAACAAGACATTTTTGATTATGGTTCTGGCACTCAGTGGTCTACAAAACCTTTGTGTTAGCACATTGTACATTCAATTTTTAAGAAGGTGCACATAAATTTAATTTAATGAAGCAGTAAAAAATAATTTGTCATAATATTACCAGTACTGGTTTTTGATTCTCCAGAAGCTTGCCTGCAGTTATAGATTTAGCTTCCTGAATGTACTGACTGATGCATCTCTACCATAATAACATAATTTTGTAGTGCTTTCTGCTGGAGTTACAGGGCAAAGATTTCACTCAAATCCATTAACCCTCACTTATTTCTAAACAGTATCTTCTTAATCAAATACCAAAAAAGAGGTGTCCTTGTTGGAATTCTGTCGAGTCAGGAATGAGCTGAGCAGCTCGGTTAGCTAAAGGATCTGTAAAATTCTTCTTGACTCTCACTAGGAAGAACTGTTACAGCCAGAACTTGCAAAGCACTGCAACTCACTGTCCCTGCCATCCAGTCCACCAAAGTTCACCTCCACCTGATACAATTCCCAGATGTACTACTGCCTTGAATCCCTGGGAGAGATATAGAGTTCGAATGCTTTGGGTTGGTAGAGACCTTAAAGATCACCCATTTCCAGCCATCCTGCCATGGGCCAGGACACCTCCTACTAGACCAGGTTGCTCAGACCTCATCCAGCCTGGCCTTGAACACTTCCATGGATGGGGCATCCACAGCTTCTCTGCGCACCACCCTCACAGTGAAGATTTTTTTCCTAATATCTAATCTAAACCTACTCTATTTCAGTTTGAATCTATTCCCCTTGTCCTGTCACTATATGCCCTTGTAAAAAGTCCCTCTCCAGCTTTCTTGTAGACTCCCTTCAAGTACTGGAAGGCCACAAATAAGTCACCCTGAAGGCTTCTCTTTTCCAGACTGAGCAGCCTTTCCTTGTAGGAGAGGTGCTCCATCCCTCTGATCATCTTTGTGGCCTCCTCTGGACCCACTCCCACAGGTCTATGTCCTTCCTGTGCTGAGGTCCCCAGAGCTGGATGCAGCACTACAGGTCAGGTCTCACCAGAGTGGAGTAGAGGGGCAGAATCACCTCCCTCGACCTGCTGGCCAGGCTACAAGATAGGCATGTGACACGTTCTTAGAGTAGCACCAACAGTAGCTTTGCACAAAAGGTTGGATTTCCAGGGCAGCACAGCATTAATGTTGTGGCCATTCTCTTGTGCAGCAAACTTGAAGCTCAATTAGTAACTACTGGCTGCCAAAAAGTTTCAGCTCAGACTGCTATAGGAGTCCTACAACTAAGCCCACCTCACTTTTCAACCTTTTTCATTTGGTATGGCAATAATTTCTGAGATCTACCACTGAAAAGGATACAAAGGCTGTAGGAGCCTAACTTAGAAGCTCAAGGTAACTAGAAACGCTGTGTCAGAGAGATGAACATCTGACAAATAAGGCAGTCACCTTACGTTGTTTTCTGCCCGGTAGGTTTAAAACTGCTCTAGTGGCAACTTTGTTCTTTTAAGATATTGCACTCGGTTTCTTAATTTCTGGGATCTGGAAAAGGCTTGCTTGGTTTCTGAGTCAGGCCATTAGAGTTCTTGATGAACACCGAGAGGCACAGATTAAAAAGGAGTTACACATGGTCAAAAGGAACCAGTTTTTCATCTCTCTTTTGCTCACCAGTTAATTATTTTATTATCTGGAGGAAATGGCAGCCTTTGATAAGGATGTCATCTGATTTGGAAGTGCAAAACCCTGGCACCACAGGCACCCTGATTCTGGAGCTGACCCTGTCCTGCTACAGATAGCTGCCTCTCTATAACCTGCAGGGTTGTTTCCACAGCCTGCACCTTAAGAAGCCATCTAAGCCTTTCTTTCTGCCTGTGTAACTGGCAGTAAATGTGCCTGTTGCACTGTGTAGTGCAGATTTTTCTAAGGCTGCATTTACCCTTCAAAACTTCCAAACTTGTTCAGGAGACTGTTGCCATGGGGATGAACTTGTGCAGCAGCTTCTGCCATTTCCACCGTACTTGTACCCGGAGGAACGGTGTGGGAGAACAGGTGTGGGCAGCACGTGAGGGGCACTCCTCGCTCTCAGCCTCTGTGTCTGTTGGGATGTTCGTGCCTCATGGTAGCCGAGAGGCAGGTGGGGACTGTGCCTGTGGCCTGTGAAGCTCGTGTATGTGTATGCAAACCAGTGCCATTGAGAAGAGAGCGGATGGTCCCTACACTGACACATTATTGCTCATCTGGGGCATCTCTGGGCAGCAGCTCTGTACAGGGCTCCTGTGTAGAGCAAGGAACAGCCCTCATGCTTCACCTTCGCTCCCAACATGTTGTGAATTCTGAAACAGTCAAGTTACTGCCAGGTGCATTTGCATCCTATTACAGAACTCCAACATTTGGTGTTAAAAGGGTTAATTAAACACTGAAAATGGTTTCTATTTCATTCCTTGCTTTAGGTCAAAATGAGTCTGGAGTTGCAGTCCACAACGGTAGAATATATTTAGTTGGTGGCTATTCGATTTGGACAAATGAGCCTTTGGCATGTATCCAGGTGAGTGATTTATGCTTCTTTTAAAGTCTTTTCCAATAATTTCTCAAGGATAAGTTTTGCACAGAGGTTATTAAAAAAGGAAAATACATGTGAAGTGGAGAGATTAAGGATATTTCTTATGCAGCTACTGAACCTGCATAAACACAGAGAGGAAATATTAAAAATACTTCCAGATGAGCCAATAGATGCAATTCCTCTGAGATATTCCAGTAAACCAGGGTTGAGTTGTCTTTCCTTTGGCAAGGTTTGGATAAAATAATGTGTATATATTCACAGGTTACACAATCAAGTTCAAAAGAAGAAGGGTTGCAGAAATGGATGACAGGGCATGGGCTAAGAATTTTTCAGCCTGTCTTGTGATTTATTTTTTTTTCTTTCCAAGTCGTGTTTCTGAAGGGCAGCCAGAGTTAACGAGTTGTTCCTTGACTAAGTTCAATCAGCCTGCAACCTGCCCTCATACTGACTGCTTTACAGCTTCAATGGAAGGTTTTTGATCCCTGCTCTCCCATCTTGTATAAGAGCAGCTCACCTACAGATCCATGGCTTTCTGGTATTCCTGTACAGAAGTCAGGAATTCTTATTTTTCTGCATGTTCCTGAGTGAAGCAGTTCTGCATCCCAGCCATCGCTTTGTGACCAGCTGGGCAGTTACAGACAGAAACTTGTTTTACATCTCAGTTTCTGGCCTTTTGTCGATTAAACAACATTTTCATTAGCTTCCAACTTTTGGGGGTTTAGGATTTCCCTCCAAACTGTCCCCATAAAGTAAGGCTCAGCATAAGAAGGTAGGATGCTGAGCTACTGGTCTTATAATGAGTTAGTAAAACACACTTATACTATAACCAGAACATGGTTTTTAACTGTTTATCTTGCATGATCTACTCTTTACAAAGTTGTTGGATACTATACCTAACAATTTGTTGGAAAAAGTCATTCCGAGTGGCTTCAGTAACAAACACTAGCTGACAGACAGTGCTTTAGATGGAGCAATAGTGCAATATAGAGGTGTTGGCTCTACTCCTCCAACAGGCTCATTTATAATCAACAGGTACTTTACACTATTGCACCTGGGTTTAAATGTGGCTTAGTGACAAGTAAAAATGATCCTGGGATCTTGCTGTCTTAAATGGACATTTGTCCACATCCCCAAAGTAGTTGTGAACTGGCAGCCTGCCTGACAATTCCCACATTAAAGGAAAAAGCAGTATAATGAGCGATTTGGCAGAGCTGTGCGTGCTGCCCCTTCTCAGCTGCTGGCAGAGTGCCTGGCTTTAACCAGCATAACTAGGCCTTTTATCTTCAAATTGAGGAAAACTGAGGTTGTTTTCTCCTTTGGAAGAAAAAAATACACCTTTCCCACATACCTTTACTTTCTTTACGTCAGTCATTTATTTGGCATTTCTATCTTCTATAGAGCTTCCGTGCTCGTTATGTACCACCAAAGCTGACAAATGATTTCTGCTCTGTGCCAGCAGGAGTCCTTCTGTGCAGAGTAACCCATTTGTATGGCTGCACATTCTGCTGCCAGAAAGCAGGATCCAATGACACTGTTTGCTACTGAGTGCCTGAGCACTCAGGTTTTGGTTTGGTTGATAAAGGCAGCCAGTGGATCACCAGACCACCAGTACAATCTAAAACTTATCTATCTGAAACTACCTTTCTGTTGGGATCAATAGTACATACGTGTGGTGTGTGCCAGCAAATTTGTTTCAGCTTTCTTTTGTGATCCCGAAAATATTTTGTATGCTTTGACCTGCAGGTGCTGGATGTTAGCAAGGAGGGGAAGGAAGAGGTTTTCTATGGGCCTACGCTCCCCTTCGCTTCCAATGGAATAGCTGCATGCTTTCTCCCAGCTCCGTATTTCACATGCCCCAACCTTCAGACTTTGCAAGTGCCTCACCACAGGATTGGCACAATGTGAGACACTCCTTGTGCTTCACAGAATCAGTAGTGGAGGGGGAAAACATCAATCCTTGCATATAGAAGGGTTTCTCTGGGTCGGTGAGAAGAATCAACCCACACGGACTGCTGCTTTACCATCACACATTTGTCTTAAGGTCAGATCACAACAAGCAGGAAGGACGCTACAAAAACTGTCTGCAGTTTCTCTCCTCTGCCTCAGATGTAGAAGCACGTACATGAGAGTGTTTGGCATTTTTGCTGGTGACTACTTGCTATATGTCTACTTCATTTCCTTATGCAACTTTGTAAGGCATTGTGGATGCTCTCAGCTCATCCTGGGCTGCTTTTTTTGGGGGTCTTTATGTTCAGTTGTTCACCAATGGCGCTTTCGAAGATGATAGAAAGCTCTGTTTATGTTGATAAAGATGATATCATACTCTGGTAATTATGCAACTTACTCGATACCTTTGGCAAAAAGAATAACAAATGTGTTGACTTCCAATCCTGAACTCTGTCATTTACAGTTTCTCATTTAATAATTTCATTTTAAATTTAAATACTTCAAAACAGATTAAAACAAAGCTAAAAAGCAAACAAGCCCTGTAGGATATGGGGAACAGATAAAAATTGTCTCAGCTGAAAGAGAAAGAAACTGAAGCCTCATGGTTAAACTAAAGTCTGAACTGAATTTGTTTGTCTGAGAATCTAAATACCGTTTGGGATGTCATTTACCAAGGTCTACTATCAAATAAATGTTATCTTCTGTCATATGATCAATTCTTCCTGACAGCTGCAGTCTTTTAATGGTGGAGATCAGCCTCTTTACTGTATAATTAAAATGTGCCATTTACTTAATATTTTTAATATCCAGTTTGCAAGGGGTCACCACATTTACAATTATCAATGAACAGTCTCATTTTGTCCAACATATGGTCCCACAAATCACTGGTCTCCAGAGGCTAAACAGATGTAGAACAATGTCAATATTTATTTATTTATTCTTTCTGTTTATATAGTGTCTCCTTTCCATTCTCCAGGCATATGCCAGCTCACAGCAAATACTCTAACCTGGTATATTTTGGCTTTGCTTGGCTACTGCAGCCCCTGTCTCTTCTTTCTGTGTTTATTTACATATCTAACAAACTTTTCAATGTTTGTAAATATTAACCAAGCATGTTATTAAATTTTCCTCTATTTCTGATGTCTGGGTACTCTTGACTTCTCTGCTTTACCTACTGATCAGCTCCCTGTCACTGTGCGGTCTGAGCAGACCCGTCAGATTCCTACTGATGCTCCTGCAAATGCCACCTGCAGAATATGCTGTGGCAGTAGCCTGCGCCTGCTGGACAGGAACAGGTTGGGCTTTGTCCAGGGAGCAGTGTTTTCAAATCAAATGCATCTTTTAACTTGTAAGGGTCTGGTTACAGGGAAGTATCACCATTTCTGTCTCCTGCTGGGCAGTGTACTCACAGAACACCACCTTTCCTTTTCAAGTACTTATCAAGTTAGAATGTTTTATGTTTTTGGTTTTTTTTCACTAAGCTTTCTCACTCTCATTGCCTAGAGAAGAGGTGCAGCTGCACCATCTTTGCCTGGTGCACTGACTTGAGTTGCTAACGTTGCCTCCCTCTGTGCACCAAGCAAGCCTACGTCCAGGCAGTACTTTTCTCTACACTGCATGAAAGCTGTATAGGCTGTACATGAAGATATATTTTAGTTTCTTGGTTTAATTTGTTTGATCTCCTGGAAATCTGCATGCAAGGGACGGCTCTCCTAACAGGCCATTTACAATTTAGAAATTGTTTTCCTCTGTGAACTGCAGGGCCCAAGCCTGGAAACTACTCGAACTTTGGCTTATGTGTGGTTTTCAGGGATACAAACATATTACATCTCATTCTCAAGAGGAGGGCAGCTAAAATAATCAAAAAGTGTATGCAGGGGCTTTGAACCTCATCCTGGAGGTATCACACCAGGTAGGTGATCAGCTTTCGCTCCAGGGGCAGAACTGACATATACTTCCTATTTTGCAGGTGGTGGGAGGATTAATTTCTCAGCCTTTGTAAAGCCCAGTGCATTTCTGGCAATCATGCAAAGTATGAATTTGTATGCCTCAACTTAGTTTGGAGGCTTTTATTTCTAGGCCTCATAGCTTACCACAGCTGCAACTATGGGATAATTTCTAAACTGCTGCTCCTGGAGGACAAGGGGAGGGATTACGATGGATCTGGATGACTGAGGGGTGACAGAAAGCAGCAACAGTGACCCGCATTTGAGAAGCAGAGGGGGGGCAGCTTCCTTATGCAAAGCAGCATGTGCTCCTTGGTTCGAGGTCTGAAAGGCAAGAAAGTTATTTATCATGTTTGTTCTGCCCTTCAGACGCTTTTACTGCTCTGCTTGTTATCACCAATTGTCTGTACTGTGAATAGCAGTTCTAAACAGCTGTGCAATTGCATTATATTAGTTAGGGGTACCTCTGCCACAGAGCCTCAGGACAACACATATGCTCTTATTAGTGTCAGGATTCTGCTCTGGCTCTTAATCATCAGGCTCCACTGATTACTGAGAAGTCCCTCTTAGCCTCGAAGTTTTTGTGCCACACTTTCCTATCTGTGTCCTTTTGCTTTTGTTGCAGGATCTGCAGGACAGATGGGGGTGTTTTGCTGCATCTGAAGTCAGAAAATGCCACATAGCCCTTGGCAGTTGAGCAAAACCTGGTTAGTTACTGCCAGGTAAGAAAAGAATGGTGTGGATGCAAGAGCAGACAGAGAGCATCCCGCTGTGGCTGAGGGGTCTCAGCTGGGGAGGAGTGGGGGTGGGAGAGCAAGGATGGCTTCACCTGCCACCTGCAGCTGTGCAGGACTCCAGCCAGCAAAGGCTGCCCAGTGAGCTGAAGTTGCTCAATCACCATGTCCTCACTCTGACATCTTTCCACCGAGTGTCTCAGGCTTCTGAAACTGCCACAGTTGCAGGTTCCTGTGCGTGGGCTCCAGATCTGCCTCTAAATTTTGTACCATTTTTGGCAAACATACAACTCTGAACCCTACCTTTGTCCCTACCCAGCCTACCAGTTTTGGTACATACCTCTGAAATGCAGTTTAGCTCAGTTTTTCCACAGAGCCTTGAGATTTTGTTACCAGAGTCTGATCAGCAGAGAGTGACAGCTTATGCCAAGTCTTTCATCCAGCTGGGAATGTGCAAGGTAATGGGGCAGGTTGCAACCAGGGAGAACTCACTCAGGGAGTGCTTGAGAGGTGTCCTTACAAGTCAACAGTGCAGCAGCAGTTACTGTCAAGTCTAGAAGACAGTCCTTAGATTTACACATTACAGTTACTTAAATTTGCAGCTAACACTTTTGGGCCACAAGGTCTTGAGAGCTGTACTGAAGAGCTGTTCCCTGATCTCCTCTTTTGGGCCACTCCCCTTATGAGTAATATTCAATCCTTTATATAGCATACCTAACCTTTGAGTCCTAAAATGTGTTTTAACAGCTATTCTTAGCTATAAATAATCACAAAGACATCAGCTGCTTTGTGCTTTTTATTTAAAAAATACCCAATTTCCACAAGGAGCAGCACCAACAGCCTCTTTGGCCCCTTTAGAGTCTCTAGGTGCTGACCAAAGCCACACTCACACGTTATCAGCAAGTGTGCAGCAATTCTGTTTCTTTGCATTAATGGTTTTGTAATCCTTGCATTTCTAGTTGCAGCTTATGATTTTCTTCTTAATTTAGCAGGTTTTGGGAAAAGTATCTGTCTCTCAGAATAGCTGAAACTTTTGTAACTCTTTTTCCTTTAAGTTTTGCCTTCCCCAGTTACCCTCCCCCACACCTGTACAGACACTTAGTACATCAGTTGCAGAATCATGGAGAAATAGATAATTGAATATTCACACATGCAGAAACAACACAGGCAGAATGTGGAACAATGTGGAAACAAGCGCGAAAAGAGGCGGCATCTGTTTATTGAAAATTAGAATGTAGAATAAATTAAGAGGGCAAGGTTAAAACACTTCATCTGCAGGCAGAGTTTGTAGGGGAGGAAGACTTTGCAGGAAGTTTAGCACATAGACCGTATAAAGGGCTTATGTAGTTTTATTTTTGCAAAATGGATTTCCCTCACCCCCCCTCCTCAAGGACATGTTACAAAGGGATAAAGAGTGTCCACATAAAGAATGGTTTTCCAATAGAGATGATTATATATAGCTGTTTCACAGTAATGCTAGAATTAAAATGCTGAAAATGTTAATGTTGCAATGCTTCAAGTACTGAAGAAGAGAGTAAGTATTTTTAGCATTACCCTCAATTCATGAAAGTGAATGCTGTGCTAATTTTTCCACCAGTGCCTATGCAGGTCATCCTGGGCCTTTCTAGAACAAATAAGAAATTTAAGCTTGCATTTTTAGTTCCTGTTTTGGTGTCATTCTACAAGGAGGAGGGTAGATTCAGGATGGTGTTTGATGGACTGAGAAGTGCAGTGAATTTGGTTGTGATGTGCAATTACTCTGCTGGCATTTCCAAAGGTCTGTAAAGATACCACACCTATGAATATAGGGTCTGAGTTTTTACAATATTTTTGTTGTTCTATACATACCTTCACACTTTATACATTAAGCCTGCAAAAGGTTTACCATTTAAAAGCTGCTCAAGTAGGTAAAAGCCATATCCTAGTCATTCATCATAAAACAAGCTTAATTATGCTAGGACATATTGACACTGCATCAGATTTTTAATCTTCAACATAATTTTATAACCATTGCTAACAGATGGGCTGATTACACTGAATTTGAGTTTTAAGTAATAGTTAGAATTTCTAAAATATGATTAAACTGGAAATACCCATTGCATACATAATTTTCAAAAGCTACTGAAAGAAGGAGAACCAGAGCACAATAAAACCTCTTTTCTGTTTCCTGAGGGAAATGCGTTGCATTTAAGTGGACAGTTATCAGAGTTCCTTAAATGGCCAAGTAGTGTATGCTATTGGCAGCTCCTCTTCTGTGCAATTACAACAGATGTGCAGAACCTTATTCTTTCTATACGTCTGCTGCTCTTATTCCAGCATAAAAGGTGTGAATTTTTCTATTTCAGAAGTTATTTTATTGAAACAAGTGCCTTCTCCCTATTTTTTTTGTCATTGAAAATGAAAGCAAGGAGTAACTTAAATTACCGTGTTTCTGCTCTTTAATAACAATAACAAATGAGAAATTCTTATAAAATAGAGGTACAACTTTGTGGGACTAATGGAAGTTGCATGTGAATTCTGAACAGAAGGTGTCTTTTTTTTTATGTTATCATCATAAGGTTACATGAGCCAGACTTCTCTCTGTCTGCCATTGCTCATAATATGCTGGACATCTGTTTCATAGCACAAGGATGATAATGGGTCACAGGTGATTGGTATCCTGAATTCTGGAATAGGAAAAATATAAAAATGAAATACTGTCTATTCAGATCTCAGTTCTATATACTGCAGAAAGAAAAGGGTTGTAGTAGTCCTCTTACATCTGGCCAACGAGATCAGGATAGAAACTGCTCACAAGGCTCATGCCCACTGTCCTTCAGATAGGTCTGCTGTCAACATTGTTAGCATTTCTAAATGAAGGGGGACACTGGTCACAGACCATGCACCAGGCTTGGGGGAAAGAAAGCTTACTGAAATTAAATATTTTGTTAAAACTCCACTGATAAAAGTGATCCCATAGTTATGAGTAATTGATTAAGATTTCTGCTAATTTTGGCTGGGGTAGAGTTAATGTTTTTCACAGTGGTTGGTATGGGGCTGTGTTTTGGATTGGTGCTGAACGCAGGGTTGATAATATAGAGATGTTTTTGTTACTGTTAAGCAGGGCTTACAGAGCCAAGGCCTTTTCTGCTTCTCGTACTCCCACACTGGTGAGGAAACTGGGAATGCTCGGGAGGAGGCACAGCTGGGACAGATACCCCAACTGACCAGAGGGATATTCCATACCATATGACATCATGCTCAGTATATAAAGTAGGGGGAAGAAGAGGGGGACATTTGGAGTGATGGCATTTCTCTTCCCAAGTAACTGTTCATGTGATGGGGCCCTGCTGTCCTGGAGATAGCTGAACACCTGCCTGCCCATGGGAAGGACTGAGTTAATTTCTTGTTTTGCTCTGCTATTGTGCACAGCTTCTGCTTTTCCTATTAAACAGTCTTTTATCTCAACCCATCAGTTTTCTACCTTTTACTTCTGATTCTCTCCCAGTCCCAATGGTGGGGAGTGAGCAAGTGACTGAGTGGTGCTTGGCTGCTGGTTAAATCACAAATTTCTCTGAACTAGGTACTCTAGCTACAACTTTATTTTCAGCATGTTTTCTCCATCAGTTGCAGAATTTACGACTGCAGTAAATGTCTGTCCTTGCAAGCAGTGTTACTTTTAGACAACATACTGTGAGAGACCCTTTCCTTCCAAAAAGTAAAATGCTGCCCTAGTGCTACAAAAATGCAGGCCAAAGGAAGAGCCTATAAAAGCAGAAATCAGGATGTCACTTTATGGTGATCTTCAGACCAAAACTGTGGCAATATAAAGCTGTCTGGAGTGGTGACCTCTTAGTACAGTCAGCCCGCTCACCTGCAGCGTGTGGCTTTGGCACATCAGATCTGACTTTAACTCAGACCAATGCAGTCTCTAACAAACACACCGTCTTGCACCCAGCAGTGGTTTGCCTTCCAGCCCTTTGCTAATACTGAATGCTTCTGTGAGACAGCAGGTTGATGGTCAGCACTGCCTCCTGCAGCAGCATCTGTGGGCAGGCACCGGCCGGAAAGAAGAGAATGAAGGAAAGACCCCAGTAGGGTTGTTAGGAATGGTGTTGCTCCAAACCTGTGAGAGGACACAGAAGCCTGAATGAGCTGGGTAAAAGAACTACAGCAATGTCCATCTGTCCAAATGTAGTTAAAGGGTAATGTTTGAATATTTAAGCAAATACGTCAACAAGGTCTGTAAATCATGGAATGGTTCGTGTTGGAAGGGTCCTTTAAAGGTCATCTAGTCCAACCCCCCTGCAATAAGCAGGGGTATCTTCAACTGGTTTAGGCTGCTTATAGAGTCTCATGCAACCTGACCTTCAGTGTTTCCAGGGATGGGGCATCTACTACCTCTCTGGGAAACCTGTTCCAGTGTTTCACCACTCTCATCATAAAAAATTTCTTCCTTATAACCAGTCTGAATCTACCCTCTTTTAGTTTTTAAACCAAACTGTTCTTATGTAAAATATTACAGAAAGGTTTAATTTAAATAATGTTCATTGTCTTAAGCATCTTTTATACAGACAGTATGTATGTTAGACATATATATTATGTCTAACAAGACATAATATATAATTTAATTTTCAGGTTTTTTTTTTCTATATTGTACTTAAAATCAGGATTTTCTTCTTTCCTCCTAATTGGTTTTGGATTGTTGTTTTGGTATATGCTTGGTAAGTCAGCCTAGTCTAGCACTTTGCAAGCCTTCCTCTCATTAATATTATCAGAACTATCAGTCATATCTGCAAATGTCCGTACCAAATAAATAGACCAAACCAGATTGCCCATTTTTGGCAGTGGTTGATGAATATGATGCAAAATGCAGTATTTCTGCTCACATTAACTTTGTGACAGAGAAGAATGATAATTTCCAAACTGTTTAAATTAGTTTCTCATGCACCAGGAGCTGCTGTGCATTTACATAAAGTCCTGTCGCTTTTTCAGAAACTTCCAACCACTAGAGAGAGTATTAAATATGTCTTTAACAACCTACTAAACACATCATTAAATGCTTTGTTGTAATATCTGCTCCATCCTTTAAAAGTCACAGTTTTTACTTTTAGGAAGTCATACTACAGTAAGGCATTCGTTCTGTAATCTACTGGGTAGTGGGACTCAAATCCAGAGACATCTCAATCTCTCTTGAGAGGGGGGGTATTCTTTTTTTTTTTTTTTTTTTTTTTAAGAAAAAAGCATTTTAGCAGCACAGTCCTCCTGAGATGAATAAAACTCCTCCCAGGTACAGAAGCTTACAGGAAGCTACAATGCAAATTCAATAAGTCACTTTCATAATGAAAAGAACCTCTATGTTCTGCACTGTTAAGTAGCCTAAAGAGGCTTTTAGTTACTGCATTATCTGAAGTACCGATAGCCGATTTAGGCAAGAAGATTATCTAGTTCAACTTGATAAGATTACTGTGACGAAAGAGGAGCTGTTCTGAACAAGATTTTAGGGATTTTTGTGGAGCTATTAGACACAAAAATAATCCTTCCTTCCCATTAACACCGTAAAGTTAAAATGTGAATAACTTTAAAAGTAAGAGCCTGCTCACCGGTATTGCCATTAAGGGCAGACTTACCACTCCCAAAGTCCAGTAAGTAGTTTCGGAAATACTGATTATCGAGGGAAGTGAAAAATGTGGATACCACAGCCATTAATAAAAGTTCCCTGAGAACTTTAGGGAAAAAAAATACAGAAAAAGTTACAGAGCTAGATCCATCCTGGAAAAATCCGTAACATGGCAAAATATTTGAAAAATCCAACTTTTCAGGCAAACAGGAATAATGATTAGCCTATGATCAAATGATGATTATTTCCATTAGAAGTTTATCCTCTCTTCTTTTTCCCTCACGCTTAGTCTAACTTAAGTGGATAATTAACAGTGTCACGGCTAATGAAAAGATCATAGGATCCCTGGAAATTATGGGTTAATTTTAAGAACATAGTATTGAAAAGGGAGAGAACGGGAAATATGAACCTACCTTTTCTTATATTACCCACAAAGACAACAGAGAGATTTTACACTGGAATCTGAAAGACTTAAATGTTTTAATACAGGTGGAAGATTAAGACAACTATATACATTCTGTGCAACATAAACACAAGCTCTCTCTTAACAACACTAGCTCCATCATACTGGCATAACTCCTAGTGAATACACTGCATTCAACAAGTTCTGTACTAGAGAGCACAGGTTTTTCTTATTCTGCTAAAATAATAAATTAGAAAGTACAAAGTTAAGTTTTTCTTACGGACAGACTGAATAAGATTTTCAAAAGTACACTGTTAAGAGGGACAGGTCTCAATGTGAACTGAGTTGTGAAATTAATTCTTTGAAATCCTGTCTTGTATGTTGCAATACAGGCTCTGTTCATATAGACATTTAAATATGTAATAAATTAGCTGTATCTTTCAGTTGCCATCCATCAGTATATTGAGTTAATCTTCAGATGCATGACAATATTAAAAAATACCACCGAGATTTTTTAAATTAATACATAAATTGGGGGAAAAAAACAACCACAAAAGTGATAAATGTCTTTCCATTGTAAGATAAAAAACTTGTCTACTGTGTTGTATAGTTTTAGGTATTGACAGTGTCACAACATCCGAGAGGAAAGAATTAATCACCAGCACACTGCTAATCTGTCTCATTTTCCAGTTTTTGTATCTCATTTTGTCCAGCCTCTGCGAGGTAAGATAAGAGTCTTTTATAGGCTTCTCTGTTAAGAAAAACAAAACAAAACAAAAAACGTAACGTTATTTAAACAATCTCACACAAACCAAAAGTACGTAATTCCCAAATTCATTGTTTACATACTGGGGTATTAAAACATCGGAACTTCCCCCCACCTATTCAACTGTTTCGTTTCCTGTGAATTTTTTAGTACGGCCAGATTGGAAGAAGGATAAGGATTGCACTGTTTATGACTAGAAGTGTAGTGAAGATGCCTAGAAATCTACTTGTTTAATAAACTGCTGTGAAATAGAAATTCTTCATTTTAAAACATGGAGTTTTCCAAGGCTTAGATGAGATTAGCATTCAGCCTTCATCACGTTTGCTCTCTCATTTCTGTCTATGAAATTTCTGATTCACAGCACAGCAATGTGAGCCACTGGCACTACGGTGCAGGCTGGCACTAACACAGATTTAGACCAACATCCTCAACCAAGGACAATGACTGTTTTAAAATAAACCTGGAATTCAGAAGGGAACTGTCACTCAAGTGGATTTTCTAGAAGAGTGCATATGTGTTGATGAGACTTTTCACCTTAAGTTCATTCTAATACTCTCCAGCCTAGACAATGTAATGATTGTTAAGGTACTGTCTCTGACATTTAGGTATTATTTTCTAATTATGTATTTTTGTCATGAAATATCAACTTGAGCAAACAAAACTGAAGTTTTCATATTAGTTCCTTGCAATAACAACACTGATCATCACCACTATAAGCAACTAATGCAGCTTCTGAACTTGGCTTTTATTTATGTATACCTGGGTTTGCACTTCCATGTCTACAGTAAATTGTACAGAATAAATTAATATAATGTTATTTAGTGGCCAGGACTGAAGAGAGAAAATCAGGCATTAGTCTTGTAACAATAAAATGCTCATGGATCACCTCAGACTGTTGGGTAACAGAGCATATTATAAATACAAATTATTAATACAAAACATTGACAATAGACTAGATAATATACAGTTTTAAGTGATGAGGCTAAAAGAAATGTAATCAGTAATCTCCAAGCATATATATCAGGAAGCTCAAGCAACCTGCTTTCCCTTCAGTATTTTATAGACTGTGGGATGAATTTTACTATAATAACAGTATTTAATAAGAACAAAAAAATTGGCTATGAAATACATTATCAAAATATGAAAAGCAGATAGTATGGAATCCTGCTGATATGGTACATCCAGCTGACCCTGGCTGAATTCTCTTAAATAAAAGCAAATGTATTTGTTGGTAGTGGATAATAAAAAGTGAACAATACAATTACAAAGAAGTTAAATATATTTTTCATTAAATGGAAGATTAAAACCTTGTGACTACCCTTTAATGTCTCATGGTTTACATCTTGCACAGCTCTGTCTTTTGGACTTGTTATAGCCCAGGCCCTGCCAACACACACCTTAAAGCTTCCCCAGGGTGAGGTGTTGCTAAGATCCTACCCTTTGACTGGTCCCAGGATGTGCATTAATGTAAACACAGGGACGAGTTCCCAGCCCAGACCACACGGAGAGTCAAGGGCAGCCTTCCAGTGAGCAGTACTAACAGGAGAAGCCCTTTTGGCTCGAGTGCCGCACTAGGCAGAGCTTTGTAACAGTGTTCGTATAGAGGTGCTGAAAGTTCAGTGCTGCATCCGCACCCAGGGACACCACGCTCTGTGCAGAGCTGCTCCCCTCATGTGCCACTTCCACCAAATGCCAGATGGATTCACAAGTCAAATATTTCTTGGGGGCAAATGGAGGAAGTATGAGTCTGCTATGCCTTTTGGAGCCAGCCTTTTCTGGACACCCACAACTCTTCTATGTTTAGATTATGAGAGAACTCCTGAAATTAAGCTATGGGTATTTCTTTTCCAAGCATCTCAGATCATACTTGAATACACTATAATTTTACAGATGACCCATAAAGTCCTCTAAAACAGGGACTGACAGGAAAATTATTTGAGGCAGGAATTCTTTATTCTATTTTGCAATATACGGTTTAGTGAGCAGAGGCAACCTGGCTTCACATAAATTCTGCTGGGGCGTGCAGACCCTAATATCAAAACATCTCTGGAAATATTTAGCACATATAGATGGCTTAAAACCACAAAAGGCTTGAGTTAAGGCAGATTTCTGACTGAACACCCTTAAAAAATGACTCATTATCTGTGCTGCTGTCGTAAAACTGCTTTTTCTCAAGAGAATATACCTCTACTGCTCATTGTCAAAAAAACAATATTAAATAAAAATCAAACCTCTGTGCAGCATTTCTTCCAAGACCTTGTTTGTACTCCAAATCCTTCAGAGACTGTGTGATTGTGGGAATCAGGCTGGTAACTAACATCTGATCCAAGACTGCCACTGTTTCTAGTATGCTGAAAACCCGGTGATCATAGACAGCGGTATAGTCCTGGATAAACTGCCTGAGGGGGACACAGAAGCACTTAATGCAGGGTCAAAACTGGATGCCAAGAACAACTGAAGAGTCTAATCAGAACAAGCAATCTGGTTGCATGGTAATTTTCATATTGTTACACTAGAATACACTACCTAGAATACTTTGTTTAAACAAAGCCATGCTTTTGAAGCCTAATGCTAGAAATCCCGCATGTTTATTTTCAAGCAAATTGGCAGATTCTGCTCCTGTTTCACCAGGGCTGACTTGTTCCAGAGCACTGCTCTTTGTAATATGTCTGAATGCAAAACTAAAACATGTATTTATTATTTAATAAATAGTATTTGTAAGGAAAAAAAAAATTAACAAGAGTTCTAGATTCAAATCTGCAGAAATAACATTGGCATTTCTTGTAAGGCTCCACTGGATCTTTAGCAGGGTAGACGACAGGATGGAAGAACACTTGTTTGTCTTCCTGAGGGTTTGAGGTCTAACACTGACCATCAGCATTCCTGAGGAATTTTACCCATGGCAGCAGCAACATACCTCCCTCCTGAACATCTTTCAAAACAGTACCTCATCCATGAGAAAGTAGGTATGTTTCCCTCTCCTATTTTTTTCCTCTGGCTTTTTGGCCAAGCTGTGTGTAAAACCAGTGCCAAAAGTGCCATTACTTAAATACCATAAACAAGCAACAATGCAGTATGTTAAGGATAGTTAGCTATTTAAAAAAAACATGTTTGCTGTCAATTGGCTTGCAGTAGCTTCGCTGCCAATTGGCATATTTTCTGGTTACCTAAATACAGAAGTCAGCTGGGTGGCATGTTCCCCTCCTGACCCTGCTTGGCAGCCTTCTACCATGTTCTGTACAATGTCTGTAGATATTTTTTTAACTGTAAAAGAAAAATCACAAGATTCACACAGAGCTCTTGAACTGACCATCTGGAGAATGTCTTTCACGAAGACTAAAATTTTTAAATGAGAAAAAAAGGTTTAATCTTACTTTGATGCAAGTGAAATTACTGTGAAAGCAGTTAGATTGGCTATAAAGAACAGAATGAGTCACAGATTTATGCAAAAGTCTTACTTTCACCACCATTATCCTTTAAACATGCAGATTTTTAAGTACATAATGGTCTTTTTAAGTAAAAGTAAAGAGATACTTACTGGAAATAGAGATTGTATTTAAATGTAAGTTCTGTTTATATTCTTTAATCATTCCTATTTATTTAAAAAAAAGAGAGTCATAGCAGTATATCCTGCCCTAAGTTATGTAGATCTAGTACTTTGCAATGGTGAATATTGTTCTGAAATCCACCCTAACTTGTTTTTTAAGGGAAACAGACAAACAACCAACCCTTCACTATTTTCTTAATAATTGTTTTCAAATAAATACTCAAGTTGCAAGATACAGCTGTTCCTTTATAAAGGTGGAACTGGGCTGCAAGGGCTTCTCCAGAAGGGTGTGACAGAACTCTGTCCAGGCAGTCAGTGAGCTGGTGGCCACAGCAGCACAAGACTTCCAGCCCATTCTAATCCTCAGGCCATTGCAAAGTGGGTGCTCTCAGCTTCCAGCAGGAATGGCCATAATGGCAAAAGAGGGAAGAAAGTTTTGTGATGATTCGGCTAATTTACTACGCACGTCTTGTCCTTGAAACTGTTAAAGACCAGAATCAAAAAGTACTTTATTAGAGAAAATTCCCAGGAGAAGTCAGAAGTGAGTCCCAATTTTGCTTAATGCCTCTACTAGCAGCTTATGCACATTCATTATATAATGATAGGGTGAACAGAGTGCTTCATTTTTTAAGAAGCTAAAAATAAAGAAGTTCTTGCTATGAAACAAAGCATGCTAAAAGAAGAAAGAAGACTCAAAGATGCCTTCAGAGAGCAACATGCTACTTTTAATCCATTTATAATACCTCTATGGGGAGAACATACGCCAGTCTTATTTGGTATCAAAGTTTTAGGTGGAAAAAAATTTCCACAGTTGCCAAGTCTAGAGGCAATTAGATGGGAAGGACAGGGAGAAAGGAAATGCTCTTCAGATTCCTGAGAAGTTGATTGGTTCATTAGAGAGCAAAAAGAGAGAAGTCCCAGACCAGTTAATGAAAAAAACAAAAAACAAAAAAACTTGTCCAATTTAGCTGGCCAGATGATCTTACTCACCTCATCTGAGAGTCTTAAATACTGGGATGAAAGATGCTTAGCAGTAAAAACATCCTTCAAGTGTGGAGAAATGTACTTAAAGCAAACAAACAGCTCACCTTGTAGCTCGTTAACCAATACCATGCATTTCAACACAGATGGGAGAACTAATTCAATGTCACACAGTTCAGTGCTCTTGGTTCTCTGAAGTACTTCAAGAATGAAAGCAAGAACGGAGGCCAAGCGAGGAGGTGGAGCATTGCCTTTGAACTGCATGTAGTTTTCCCTGAGAAGACAAAGCAAACCAGAACAAAGTCTGTAATTTCAGGTTTTTTCCATTCAGTGCAAGCACCATATACCTTAAAATAACTGTAATATTTCAGCAGGAGGCCTATTACATAGATTTCTATCTTTATCTAGGCTCAAATAATGGATTCTATTTGTCTTAGTCTTAGCAACGACTCCCAATTTGTCAGAGGACAGTGATGCCTTCTGACTTTTCTGTTGAGAGGGAAGTGAGAAATAAGAGCTATCATAATTACAGTTAAAAAGCCAAGTGTGACTATAAAAGCTAAAATAAAAAGGTGGCATCGGAACTGAATAAATGAAGGAGTTGAGATTCCAAGATCCTAAACCAACATCCATAATGTAGCTGTTATTCAACTATGTTATTGAGCTTTTGTAAACTCACAATCCAACTTGTGGTAACAGCTCTGCTGTTATACTGGTATTGTTATTTTATTTTTGACAACAGTATGTTGTAATGGGACAGCCAATGACTGCTTTTGCTCTGACAGAATTAACACAGTCATCTCCAGTATAAAATTCTGGCACAAAGATAAAAGGTCAATCTGCAATAGGAGCAAATTTTAACATCACACACAGGGAGTGTTCCAATTCAAACACCTTGATTTGTTATTTCTCCACAAAAGAATACAAGAATACAAACTACTGTCGGTTTGACATCAATTAATTTAATCTGAAGACAATAAGTTTAAATTGAAGCATTCTGGACAGAGGAGTGCAGGTGAAAAGAACACAGCATTTGTTCATTAGTAAGCAAGAACACTCCAAGAACCTTTAAAAAAAAGCTTTTTAGATATTTAGTATTAGTTACTGTTATCTACTCAAACAAGGCACGCATGTTTACTGAGCAATGCATCAATTAAAAACCCCTCATCCTTGTTAAAACTCAGTAAGGGGTGCTCCTACACCTTTCAAATGGAACCTGACTTTCAGAGCTCTGGGTACTTTGTTGGACAGATTCAGAGCACTGAAGTTACGTGTGTGACTAGGCAAATGAAAGCTGTAACACTTTACTTCTATATTTCTTACATTATGTGGTCTTAGCAACTCCAAAATCTTCTATCTTGTTAAGTATTCTGAAAATTTTCCACAATTTTTTGGGGGTGCCCTTCCACTAAAAGTGGGGTGCTACATTTATTTTAGCTCTCTGACATAAGACACTCCTGATGGTGTTGTTCCATTTCCTCTGTGTGGAAGCAGTATATTGACTAGCTTTCATATGGCAAAGTGGCCAGCAAAGTCTGTACCTATTTGTTTACAGACCCAGTGACTGCTTCCTGACCACCCAACAGTTTGCAAATCAGCCTTGCTCACTTCTTCCACATTCTTCCCCGATCCCCAAGGAATGTTTCACATCTCAAAAATCACCAAGTGCCATTACAGCTTTGGAACTTTCTATCCACTATCAATCTCAATGTTCACACATGCATGCACACATTCAAAAATAACTTAATTAAGGTGACAAAGTTTGAGTATACATAAGTTAAAAACATGTCAGAACCAAGATTGTGAAATCTTAATTCACTCCTCTAATATGTGATAATACAAATTTTACTTACAGGATTGCTTATTATATTTACTCAAGATCAACTCTGAAATTATTTTTTTAATCAATATGTATACACACTCTTTAACAAATAAAAATCCAATTACCTTGGATATAAGCAATCACCTTGCATTCAATGGGGTTTAATTTCTTTCCCAACATGGACAAAAAGTATGAATTGTTCACTGTTCTGCAGTACATACAACAAAGCTACAACCTTTCAGCAGCAGGCGCACAAGCTTATAGCTGCTGTTGACATTGTGTGAGTAGTGACAGCACGGTGAATGGGTACTGTCTCCCTGCCTCTATGCCTTCCTCTTCCCCTAGCCCCAGTTTTCCATTTGCCCTGGGTAGCTGGCACACCTGTGTATTCCCTGACACTTACAGAGCAATGAGGACCCCCATGTACGGGTAACTGTGGCAGCTATAAGCGCTACACCTCTGTGACCCTAAATACAGCCTGAGACACAGACGTATGATGGTGTATATTGGAATGTAATTCTAGAAAATTACTTTTTTTCATGTGACCTCATCCAATAGTTTTTCTTATGGCCTAGAACCTGTATCCTTAATTACTGGCTCACAGATCTTTCCAGTTTCACTCTCCTGATGTGTATACACACTGTCCTTCCTTTGTTCCCTGCCCAGCAACTCACAGGCTCTTCCTACAGCCACACTATCAGTTGACTGTGAAGAAAACAGAGGCATTCCCTCTCTAATTAGCTATTTGTGAAATATCTGAATAAGGGATGCTTTTTACTCCACTAGTCCTTACTTTACGACATGCAAAGTGGTCTTCCGTAGACGGAGCATCTGTGGGGCTGTAATGGAACTGCATAAGGCAGTCAGCATAGGATGCTGTCCAGTACCAGGCACAGTCGGAGAAGAAGGGAGGAATCGTCCAAAATAGTGTCGAATAATGCTCCCAAGGAGTTGATTTAAATAGGCACCCTGTGTTTGAGACTGACAGCATATGAAGGACAGGCCCTGTAGAAGAAAATTATAGAAAGTGAGAAACTGAATAAATTTTTAACAATACTTTTGAATAAATCTTTAGCAACTGTAGGCTAAATACTCATAAACCGCTGTACACAGAATAACTACTGCCTGTCAAATAAGCATCAGCAATTTGCTGTAGATATGGTGGCCTGCAAATGAAGAAAAAGTCAGGCAAGGCTTGCAAAGAGAGGAAAAACCTTTTACTAGACTAATTAATATATTGGAAGATAAACTTTGGGACATGCAAGCTCCCTTTCAAATTCAAAATAAAACTTTGGCATTTCAGACCTGAGAAAGTTTCTGTGCCCAAAAGCTCCTTATTTCTTTTTCAACCCTCTTTGTGGTCTAACAAAGTATATTAGTCAGGTAAGATTTAAGAAGGGAGAGAAAGAATAAATACCTCACCTGTTTGTAAAGGACAGTGTGAAATTCTTGTATGAATGATATAGCAGAAAAATGAGCACTTAGAATCAAGCTCCAACAAGAAATTTGCTCACAGTCTGAAAAAATTAGGGTAAATTAGGCACCATTTATAAAGGATTTAGAGGGAGTATTAAACTCTGTTTAAGATAAGGCTAAACTGCTGTTATTCATCCAATATAAGCTATATTGATCCAGAGAAAAATCTATAATGAAAGTACTTGCCCAGAAAGTGCTTATCTGAACACTACCTGTAGTTACACAAAATACACATGGTCATCTTTGAAGAAAAGAGTAATACTCTTACTGGTAGGGGTTGCCATAAGAGGAAGTTAAGATTTTGTTCCCTTCCCCCTGGTTCCTGAGAGAAAGAAGAACAAATCACTAAGAAAAAAATAAACTCCCCTGATCTCCCATCTCAAGGGTCACAGTCAGCAACACAAACAGAAGCCTCTTGAGAACAGTTTTGTCCAACAAGAATAATGGTGTAAAACAAGGTCAAGCACAACAGTACTTCAAGCTTCTGTTAGACTTCAGTTTTGGTAGAAGAAGTATCTGCCTGAATATTTATGGTTGCTGAGGTAAATTAATACTCCCTAATATAGGAGTTAACAGTTCAAGTCAAACTGCTTTTGTTCCCAGCTACTGACAAAGAGTATTTCTGTTGCTTTTTGAATAGGAGTCCCTCCCCAAAAACATTTTCATCTATACCTGTGTGAATGGGACAGAACAAGTGTTTCAGGAAAAAGCAGGCTGAGACATAGCTGAGGGTCTTGAAATGAGGAGTTCCCACTTTTGGTTCCACAGTAAACAAATACAGGAAACATGAGATGTCAAGAAATGAGCCTTTTCACTACCTGCCTGAAGACTTGCTGTAGGTGGCTCTGTTGAACACAGATTTGTTGCGTTAAGGGTTTAACTTCACATACTTCTAGGGCTTCTTGGTAATTTTATCAAGTCTCAGTGATAAAAAACCACACTTCCTCAACTGAGGCTTTGATTAAAAGTTCAGATTCTCTCCTCCTTTTGCGTACATAGTGCAAAATTTTGTAGGAAAAAGCAGCTGCCGCTATATCAGAATTCTTGAAAACAAGAAGTCTGCTGCTTCTTGGCAAGTAACAGACCCAAAGAGAGACTGTTACAGATGACAGACTATTTAGTGTGTAAGCTTGAGGGGTTGATGTTTTCAATACGATATTGCAGCAGGCATAAAGAAGAGTTGCCTGTGTTTCTGTAGTACAGCTCATACAGAAAGACAGAATGTACTCCATAATCCAAATATCGGAACTGGCACTCTTAAGATTCTAGACTTTTAACACTAAAAATCCCCAAACATCTGTGACAAAGTGTATTAATTTATCTGATAAAAGGGACACAAAGAATATCACAATCTTACACAGGATATCTGCAGGAAGACACGAAGAACACAGCACCTGTGAAGAACTGTGAAAAACTAACAGTAGTTACTAAAATGAGACTTCTTCAAATTGAAGATCAACAAATGCTACACAGTATCAAGAAAAGCAGAAATTGGTTGTTGTTAACTAGTAAGAGCTTTTAAGAAATGATCCTAGAGATGTTTAATAGGTGCAATAAAAAGAAAAGAATATTAGATTTTAGATATCTGAAAGAATGCTGACTAATTTTTGCAGACCTAGTAATTTGATTTGAAAATTAATCAACAAACCTAGTCTGATCCTTCATAAAAGCATTTTCATTTTTTGAGCTGAAGTAAATTGATTCTGGAAACTGCATCCCAAAAAATTAGAAAAGAAGTTGGATTTCTCTTTTGGACACAAAGGCCCACTGAATTCAGCTCAACACTGTGTTCTTTATTTTGGACTCCTCCTTTTCCTTAAAAGTACAGAGAGCAACAGACCTGCACAAAGTCTGACAACACCATATCCCAAGTGGCACAAGGGATAAATTACCAACATTGCAGAATAGCTGCAAATCTCCAGGTACAATGGCAAAACAACAAGGTAATCACGTAGAAATTTCTTCTTTTAAATCCCACCAGCAATTAACCAGTAACACCGTTCATATCAGAGAAAAAAGAAATGCATGCTACTGGACTGCAGTTCTGGACCAGGGATTTGAAATCAATCTCATCAGACCCCGAGGACAATCCCTACAAAGCAGATGGACTCTAAAGGGTTGATAAAGCCGCTTCCTTTTTCTTAACTATGTTCTTTAGCCATCTTCTGAGGTTAAAAAGAAAACAAAGACATTTTAAGAGGAGCAGAGAGGCATGACATCATCTGCTCCTCATTTTGGCAGAAAGGCAACTGATTCCTGTGCATGTTCACTGCAGGAACCTTTTGTGGCCAGAGCTGCCTCTTCTGATTTATCTATGTATCTGTAAATCACCTGTGGAGAGCAAAGAACCGATTAGTATGGATTACTGGAACTATTCATTGCAGAAATGCCAAGCCACCTAATGATGACTTATATTATAAGTCCTGCTGTTGGAATAAATCTGCTGTTCACCAATTAATGTTGTACGATTCCTATTAAATACATACTATAATTCACAAAATGTATTAATAAGCTTGTTCAAATATCGGACCGCAGATGTGGCTCATGGGAGGGCTTTTAAGGTCTGATCTCTGACAAATGCTGAGCCTGCACAGACCCATTAAAATCCCTGGAAAATGTATGTGCCAAGCACTATTTAGAATGAAGCTCTTTTACCACTCTCTGTATTTACACAGAAATCAACCATCTTCTGTATTGGACAGGATTCACACTGATAAATCAAGCAGGGTATCTTACCTTTCCTATTATTATGTATAAAATGCTTATTCCATGGATCCACACTGTATTCTGCAAGATATATCTAAACTAATATTTCTTCTCCAAAACAAGTTCCATACACCACTTCAGTTCTTTACCATATTACTAGTAATGTGTACTAAAATTCCTCCAAATCATTCTCCAAGAAATCTACCAAGAGGCATTTCGATCTGAAACCTCCTATGATAGGCTTCAGCAATCCACTATGACACAAATCAACTGAACTGCTTTTTACAGTAGTGAAATAACTAGGGTTAAATTTTACATGCCTCACAATCTCATAATTAGGATCAGTCCCATAAAATTGTAAAATGGCTGTTCGTTCATGTTCTTCATGCCTTACTTTCCAAAGTGAGTTGTTCAACAACTCTGAGGGCAATTTTTACATTATATCTCAATAAAATCTTTCTTAGGTCATCAAATATTATCAAAACAGATGATGCACAGTGATAGAAATAGTATCCAGACAGTAACCCTTAGGCAAGAAAAAAAACCCAGCTAGTTCAAAAGCTGCTAGAACTAAGCTGTTTTGACAAGGCAGCATCAGTGACTGAGTTTGAAAAAAAACCTTCTAGATAAGATCCATGTACAATGGAAAACAGACCAGCTGCCCAACAGCTGTCAAAAGGCACAACTGTATAACCCAAATTTCTATACAAACGTAACAAGTAAATACAGACAGTCTGAAGCAAAGAGAGAGAAATGCAATGTCCAGTCCCAATTAGTGCATTTGACAATTATGTGTGCCAGTGGAAAACTAAAAGAAGCCTTTAATTTTTACCCATTAAAAATAAACCTGTATGTTTGAGGTAATGAAAGACAATGAGTTACAGTCATCAGTTTTGATAAATTGTGAAGGTCGTAATAAACTATGGTGTGGGAAGAGAAGGAGCTTCGTATGTTGTCCTAAAAGATGGAAAAATCCAGGAATTCTATAGGATTTCATAAGATTGCTGCGTCAATGGATGTATGAAATTAATTACCCGCTACTAAGACTGATTTCCAATCCCTTTAAAACCTGGATCAAGTAAACCACATTAAGAGTAGTTGTTAAAAGCTTTGGTAAGGTTATTCCCCAAGAATTGTTTCTCCATCTTTCCTCCCACCACATTTACATGCTTTTCCTCCCACTTACATTGTTCTATCACTTTTTTTTTGCCATGCCCATTTGTGGTTTTGGTTTTTTGTTTGTTTTGTGGGGATAGTTACTATTTGATTCAGCTCACAAATTGATATTCACAGAATCATTAAAGCAAATTAAATGGGAATGCACATGGTGGTGAAAGGGAATGAATTTAGCCTTAAGCCAATTGTAAAACAATAACCTGAGATGTCAGAGAGTGCCTAGAATCCATTCAATCTCAAAGGATCTCAGAGGAGTTATATTTTGTGTTTAAACTAAAAATATTTTCAAGCTGAGTCTAAATCAGAATTTTTCCACTTTTCAAATAAAAGGGAAGGAAGTATTTTTGAATGAATGAATCATTTTGAAGCACTTAAAAATGCTGGAACTTTGTAAATACAAACACTTAATAGAATGCAGAAGTCCCACACTGAAACAGGAAAAATAAGTCAAGAATTCTCCTCTTTGTCTTCTTTTATCAAAAGTGTTTGTCAAATTCAAGAGTTACTTGCTTTCTAGAAGCAGCATTTGTCTAAAATAAACTATCTGGTCAAGTAAGATCATTTACCATAGCCAAAAAGCATGTGGACTTTGCAGCAGACTGCTGAAGAATACAAAAGTGAGGTCACAACTCAGAAACTGGCAAAGAAAACAGGAAACAAGGGTCCACAACACTTGGACTTCAAAACCAACTCAAGTGGTTTCATCTTAAAACTACATCCGTCTGTGCAGACTCCAGAGAAACTGGCTCTCTGACTAAAATACTAAATTAGCAAACAGACACTCACACTCTGTGGTAATATTATTGTCCAGATGGTCCTACATGTATATAGCTTCTGAAAATACCTACAGAGCAGGAAAGCAAGTCATATTCTGCACATCATTATATAATCATATTCACTTCCACATGACATGTCATCGATCACAAGGCAACCACTTTCGAAAGGAATAAATCCGAGGGATGTTTCCAATGTCACCACTGCATTGTTTCACAATACAATCTTGCAAAGAAGTCAGTTAAGACTGCAATCAAAATGAAGACTAAGAGAGAAGGGAAAATGGTAAGCAAAAAAGACCCAAGCATCTACAAGGAAAACATGCCAACTTATTTACTTAAAAAATACACTCTCTTCCTCACCAGCAGGAATTAGTATCTTCCTACAGCATCAACAAGCCTTGCATGGTTTCAAGAGTGATAGGGAAGCTGAGGGAAGAATAGGAGAAATAATGGGCAAGAGGACTTTAGCCATGTAGGAGTAAGCAGTAGAAACTTGATTCAGTAAAACATATTCTTAAAGCATTAAGATAAACCAGTGCCATAATATGCAGAGGATTTTCTTTTGTTCCTAAGACCAATAAAAAAGAGTATCTCATCCATAATTATGTACAGTTAGCCAAGTCAAGGATGATTTAAAACATTTGTTTGCTCTGTCATCTAAACAAGTGTCTCACTACATATTATTATTACTTGACCCACTGTTTCAGAAATCTCTCACATCAGAGACCAGTGTAAGCAGTAGGTTGGCTAAAAGCTTTCCATATCCAGTGATGAGGCTAGAAGCTCTGGAGTGTATCACAGCATAGCTGCATGCCATGAGAGGAAAGCCAAGGGGGTGGCAATTTTCCTTCCACTTCTCTAAGAAGAAAAAACTCCTCTTGCTGCTTTTTTAAATTCAGTCAACACTTGTTTTGATTAGGGTAAAGGAAAACATCCTCTGCAATATGAATCTTTTCCTGAAGATATGTTTGTCTGCTGATAATAGAGTTCAGATATTTACCTGAAGATAAAGAGGCAGGCTTTCCTGAATGGCAGACAGCAAAGCCACAGGCAGCTCTTTGTCCTGCTGGAGCACAGAGTGTGGCAGCAATAAGCAATCCACAATGCGAAACAACAGTTGCTGTGCCTTGGAAGTAGCCAGTATTGGTGCCCAGAACTTTACCAGACATCCTGTTTGGGGGGGGGGAAAAAAAATAAATCCTAAAGCAATTCACAGTTAAGAAAAAAAAATAACAAAGCCTAAAGAGACACTTATATTAAATTAGATAATCTGAGAATAGCAGCAGCAACTGAAATGTCTCGCTCCCATGTACTCATTCCATGGCATCCCTTCAAAAAAACCAAAACAACTCCAAAAGTCCATTTAGAGTTCATCAAAAAAAAGTGCTAAATTGACTCAATACATTACAGTTAGAAGTTTTTAAGCCAGTGAAGCTGCTTTAGGAAAAGTACAGCAATGCTAAAGAAAGGACAGTCTCTTACATCCCTGCAGAAAACAACTAAACTTGGTCCATAACGCCAACGCAATCAGCCCACATGCACCTAAACATTTACCTTGCTGTGTGCATTCATCCCATTTCAGAGAGCTATGCTGCCTTTGCCTTCCCTTCACATTCATCTAACACCACTGTGGCCACATCAGCAACTACTCACCCGGGAATTGAATGTTAGGAAAACATTAAATATCCTTCAAATTGTATTTAATTTCAGCAGATTAAAAAGAATAAGGGGCAGCCAACTCTATTAAACCAGCATGGTCTCACCAGATCTTTGTGGGCTCTCAATTCACTAAGAGCCTCAGACAACATCTTTTTTGTTTTCAGCACATCAACGTATCACTTGCATAGCTCTGAGCCAGTCTTAAGATCTTTAAAAAACAAAACAAAACAAAAACCTAAAAAGGTGTTGATGTGTAAATACCCTAACTCTGAGAAACATCTTTATTGCAGGTGAGGTGCAATTTTTCTTGAGAAAATAACTATACTCCAGAGTGTTGATACTCAAAACACACACTAAATAAAACGAGATTTCTACGTAGGGGTTCCAGACATTCTGAACTTTACATTTAATTAGAGGCAAGGAAAAGTTTCCTGGGCTGAAAATATGGGAATATCCCAAGAAAACATGTTTAAGACTTTGAAAATAATGAAAAATCAAAAGTAGGCTGCTACAAGATATTATTAATCTATAAAAGTCATTCATTACCATCTCTAAAAACAACGCAAAACAACATTAATCTTGTGGAGTGAAAGAAAACACAATGATCAATCATAGAGAAAGAGAACGATCACCTAACAATACTTCTAATAATGTTGTCTAAGCTTCCTGCTTTGAAAGAAACATGGTCATTCCAGCTAAAGTACTCCTTCTATTATCGTTCCTGTGATGTATGGGACAGTACAAGACACAATCTGACCACAGACGGGAGGTGTTTAGATTTGTTAAGTTTCTTGCTTTGTCCTTATAATTTAACAAGCCCACAGAATGTGAAGCAGTGATTGAAATACACTTAAATATTTTTTCTTTTAAACCTTTTCTATGTTTTCTTAACTAAAAAGAAAAGGACAATTTCTTGCCCACAACAGCATGACTGAAGATTAATCGCTTCCTACTGCAAAGAACAGAGAAGACAATACCAATCTAAAAAGGAAAATACCAATCTAAAATTACTTTCCAAGGCTCCAATCCACATCTGGGTATCTGAAAACATTTAATTTGATATACGTCTTGTGTATCAAAATATGCCAATCTTGCAATAGAAAAGTAAAGTATTTTACAAAACCCTAATTCCACTACATTTGATGCACCTTTTGATCTCGGTCATGCTTTCGCTGTGCTCCATATAATCACGATTTGAACTGCATTTGCATGCAGATTATTACGTCTGTCTTTGAGATACACAAGGTTTACTCTATTTTTAAAGGTAAGTGGGTCAGACTGGCACAATTCATTGATAATACACAGCACTCTTCTTTTTCTATTCTATCAGTGGTTCCATGCTTAATGAACAAATGCTAGAACTGAGCCTTAGTAAAGTACAGAGTGTATGTAAGAGAAGCAGTTCCAAAAGAAAGCAAATTACATTCCTAAGCCAACTTGGCCACTAACATAACTTCAGTAAATATGATGCAGCCTGTCATAATACTGCTTATCATAGAATATCCTGAGTTGGAAGGGACCCCCAAGGATCATCAAAGTCCAACTCCTTGTTCTGCACAGAATCACCCCAAGAATCACATCACGTGCCTAAGAGCATTGTCCAAATGCTCCTTGAACTCTGGCAGGCTTGGTGTTGTGACCACTTCCCTGGGGAGCCTGTTCCAGTGCCCAATCACCCTCTGGATGAAGGATCTTTTCCTAATATCTAACTTAAACTCCCTGAAAAAACAGTTTTAAACTCTACCTTACCCCTCCACATTGGCCCTAACCAAATCTACCTACAGTTTGCTGAATTCTATGACTCTGGCTCCACTTCTATTTCTACCTTTACACTACACAAAGATTGAAAAATTCATTTAAATAAGTGGTTCTCTGGCGAGTGATTTCACTGGTGAGCCAGGCTATTCCCCGTAGCTTGGATACCTAACACCAAGTGCATGTTGCCTCAATCCACATGGTTCAAAACTTGGGATTCTTTAAGAAGGGTGTACATCCACTTTTATGCTCTACAGGAAAAATTCAGAGCTCATCACTTTCATTTAAAATATGAGTGGGAAGAGAAAGGAGACAACAAAAGACCTCATATCAAAAGGTCTCACGACCCGCTATGGGAGGAACAGATCCACTGTGGGCATAAATTGCTGGAACTTCAGGAACTGCTATGACTTATAACAATTCTCACTACTGCTAAATAGTCAAAAACTGACTCCTGTCACTGTTTCTGAGTTTGTTTGGGTTAAACATTTAGTTTTCAGTAGTGAAAGACACAAAAACATTTTACTCTTGAAAATAGTGATTTGCAGGGGTAATAAAGAACCCTACAAACAAAAACCACAAAGAGGTTAGACATCAGGATCAAAGAAAATCTTCAGAAAGAAATTAAATATCTAACTGTAACATCTTGGTGAGTTTCTTTTTTAAACCATTAAATATTATATAGGAAATATATATATGGATAGTATAGGGGAAAAAAAGTATTAAAAATTTATTTTATTGATGCCTTAAAACCATTTCCTAAAAAACACAAAACAAAACAAAACAAACAGGTTGCAAAATATTTACCTATGATCCAATACGTAAGCTGCAGACCTTCTGGAGGTCCTTTTGCCTTCAGATAAGGTTTTACATACTTTAATACATCACCTAAATACTCCAGAGTCTTTGCTACCATGGCAGATTTCTCAGGGAGTGTCTGAAGGCCACTGTAAGTTCTACCAACAGCCTGAGAAAAAAACAAAAACATTGAAAGAAATATAAATAAACTTACTAAGTATCTCATGAGATTTTTGTGAGTAATTTCTTTTTCCACCCTCCAGTCTGATATATAGTTCCTTTTCACTAAAATTGTCCTATGAAAGTAACACAGAGATAGGTGTACAGTACCTTAATGAACTGGACCAGAGCATATTTTGGGTCTTGCTTGAAAACTGATTCTTCAACATGAGCCTTTGAAAGAATGTTTTCTACTTCTGAGAGTTTAAAAATCAGTCTTGTCATTTCAGTCAGCTGCTCCATATAGGCTTTCCCTGATTATTTACAAGAGAGCACAGCAGTAAATACAGTATACAGTTATGCTTTTAGATTTACTTTAATCCCAAAATGATAAAGTGAAACATTATTTTAAAATGTTTAAAACACAAGGATTCTGCAACCAACTGTATCTCTCCAGACAAAGACCATATTACAATTATAAGACAGTGAAGAGTATTAAGTATGGATAACCAAGTCTTTCATAGTACTGATGTTTGGGGTTTTTTTCAAAATCTACAAAATGTGTATGAAAAATAGTCACTAGAAGATGTGTTCTAAAGATAATTAGAACTGCAATGTTTTTAGAAGAAGTGATAAAGTATTTCTCTAAGAAAGCAAAATATCCAACACAAAAAAGGGCAGAATTAATTACAACTAGATTTTTTTCCCCTTTTCTCTTCTTTTAGGCCGTTCACAGCATGATTTCTAACTATTTACTTCAGATTCACTTTTTTTAGAGCAGTTTCTCCATGGGGGAAAAATAGCTTGTCTCCTTGGGAGCAAGTTTTTATTCTTTGCTTCCAAGGAAACAAGCTCTTTTATCTTTCTTTGTGATAAATTTGTCATATGCAGAGCAGGCAAACTATCAAAAAATAGCACAAGCAGTGTAAAGAAACACATTTTGTAATTAGGTAAAAGTAAAGGAATACAAACAAAAATACATTTTGTAATTAGCTGAAAATGTTTGCCAGCTTTGCAATATAGAATCGTTACTGCAAACATTAGGGAAATGTGAACACTTACCAACTGTTCGCTCAGCATCTGTCTTGGCCAGAACACCACTTGGTTGATCTATGAACATTTGCAAAACGCATCGAAACCAAGAACGTACTGTCAGAGCTTCATAGGATGTATATCCCATACTAGAAAAAGCTTCACGCAGTGAACTGCATAGGTAGAAGAGGAAGAAAAAGGTAGGGTGATCTAATAAAAGTAGGCAAAAAGGGTAGCAGAGCGTCTCATTTGGCTGTAGACATAAAGAAAGAGTGCATAGAAACAATTAAAGTAACAGAAAGGTCAACTGGCATTGCTTTTGCATACTCTGCAGACTTTGCTCATAATATCCTGATGCCCAAACAGAAAGAACATGATAAATTTGCTAAAGCCACCTATGGTAATTAATATAAAGGCATATATACACATGTACATGTGTTTTGGCTACATAAAACAGGGTGGAGGGAAATTCACACAATGGGAAATGCCTTACTCTAACAGTGGGTAACTTGATAGCATTGTCTAAACTGACAGTGTACAATGCTGGAAATAGTTTATCTGAAGCAGCCTGGAACTCCACATTGCCACTACTTAAGCTACTCCAGCCTTTCGTAGAAAGCTAGCCCAGGTGTCCCGCACTACTCTGAGGTTTGCTTCGTTCTAATTACAGTAAAGATGGAGAAGGTCTGCTTTAGCAAATCAAGTTATGTTATGTTCAAAACACATGAAAAGGGAACTATAAAAAGGCACCCTGGAGATGAGAAAGGAAACCCCTTTCTCATGGCAGTACATTACAGACGTATGCATTTATGCATGTATATACACACAAGTATAAATATCACACAAACTTGCTGTATATACTTTCAATCAAACACTCGCTACCATTCGACCATTCAAGTGTCAGAACAAAGTCACTCAGTGCACAATCCCTGTACTCTACTGTTCCGTAATTATAAACTTTTACTTGCCTTACTACAATGAGTAGCTGCTACAGTCACTCTTACCCAAGCATATCAGCCTCACATCATTAATTCTTCAGAAACTCCTTGCTAAAAGACAGTGGGTCTGTTCTGCATTCTGTTTCCAGTTCCTACCAGAGGAGCTCCATGTGTGCTTCAGGTCAGCGAAATTTCTCGAAAGTAGTTACACCTTTTATTTGAGATATTTCCTCCCCGATCAGTCATAGGTACTTCAACTTTAATGAAAAATGCTTGTACTCTTTTCTTGATATATGTACACCTTTATTTACTTATTTTCTACTGCTCATGCTTGCAACAGAAAGTCAACACTTCCAGATGGAAACCAAACTGGATTCTGCTTCTCACTAAACAACATTTATAAAGTTGTTGTCTATTTTTTCTTTTTTTTGCTTCATTTACTTAAAACCAGTGACAACTGTATATTTTGTCAGAATATCCCTGATGAAGTACTACTGAAAAAGTAAGGAGACCAAATGCAAGGAAATAAAATGAAAAAAATGAACGTTGTATTCCAGTACCAAAAGAGAAAAAACAGGATGCCTATGAACTTAATGCTCTTTGCAATAATGTGTAAACAATTTCAGCCTCATGTAATCTTCATGTACACAGCTAGTCTACTTGGCCACAAAGGCTCACAAAACCACTTTCTGTTATAGTCTCACTCTTATTTTTCTTGCTTTCTGGTAGGTGGGCCACTTTGGCACTCTTCCTAAAACTGGAGAATAATACGCTTCTAATCCTTAGAAAGGAAAGAACAATAACTACCTGCTAGAAGCATGGTAAGTGGTCCTTTTAAAACAGTGATCTTATTCACATGCTCAAAGTTAGTTTAAACACGTTATAACACTATCATGCACTACACAATGTGGTTGTGGTAAGAAACTTTCAGGCACTACTGTGAAAGAAATGCCAAAGCTTGTGTGTATGTTGCCAGAGCTTACAGGGTATGTAACAGTATTGGCAACAAAAGAATCTTTTTACTTTTTAACCGAAAATGTTTGATATGAAAATTATCAGAGTGCAGTAACCATGAAGTTTTAAGATCCCATCACTTAGATACTTTGATAACTTTGGCTCTACAAGTGCCTAAGGTAAATAAGTACATGAATCATGCTACAAAAAATTGCTTTCAAGATAACAGTGTTTAGAGTATTGATACCTCTACAGTCTACCAAAAATGTCTTACCTTAGATTACCATTGCTCTTTTACCAGGAATCTGAGCACCCTCCAGCACTGTTAGTAAGATGGGAACATACCTTTGCCTATTCTCAGATACTTAAGTTTTTAACTAGTTGGTTCGAGGAAATTGATAAGAGAAACAATTCTCCTGGAGGGTGGGCAATGGAAAACCCAACAGTTTAAGGGTAAAATTATCTGCCTCTGCATGAGTGCATTCTGTCCCATGCTTCCAGATTCAGGAAGGAGATTCAGGAAAGCAGAGAGTGAAAACACATAAGAGAAAACCAGAAAGAGTGAGGGCATACACACAAATAAGCAAAAGACAAATGTCCATTATCACCTAATTATGGAGCCATGCTTTCTCCTGCTAATTCTCTCAGTATGGATGGAGGAACCTGACACTGTCAGTTAGTTCACAACGCAATCTGCCAGAGGAGGTTAAGTCCCTCTCATTCCTTTCTAAGGCAGTATTTGGAAACAAAGCTTTGAATTCCATCAGAGTGCAAGACCCACTCAACGTGGGTTTTCCAGATTGCTGCACAAGTGCTCTAACCTGTCAGATAATGTACACCAGATAATTGCATTTTGAGAAGAAATTTTGGCAGCAGGGTTGTATTAGAAACTTGATATGTGTGCACACTCTGCACTTGCTAATGCAATTGTGCTTACAAACACTTAGAAAAAGGAATTTTGGGCCATGGTTCCATATACCATAAATGTTACCTCAGCTAGCATAAAAATGTATCTGTATATGTCAGATGCTTAATGAATACTGCCAAGGAATACTTAAGTGATTGCTTTCAATCACTTACTTGAATGTTTACTAGGGGGACCTGGAAATTAACCTTGAGAACCTAAATAATTTCAAAATTTCAGTTTAGGCATCAAAATGATCTCACCTGAAGAATAACAAGATTCAAATTATAAAGTTCAAATTATAAAAGGGAATTTATATGCCTAACTCTTATTGCATTCAGCATGTGCTAGGTATCTGCATCTTTGAATGAAACTCACCCTATAAAGATAAATAAAAGAGAAATATGGCAATTTAGAGGACTGAACACTCCTCTCCCGAGTTCCAAACTGACACGCAAGGAACTAAATGCAACTTTTTTTAACACCTCCCTGCAAGAAGGCCACAGCTTCATCTTTGTCAATCACACTTAAATAATCTTTATCATACCCTGACTTACAGTTATGCTCCTTAGTACACTATGTACCCTAAAAATGTGCAACATTTTTCACTTTCAAATACAGTCCGACACAGAAATACTCCCTCTTTCTCTCTCATTTCTCACCTCCCCTGCTTCCAAAACCTGATTCAGAAGCGGGCAAGGCATGGAAAAAGACATGCCACAAAATCCACCACCACCCATCTATCTTAGGTCCACAGGGGCTTACTTAGAGAAAATAAAATTTCTCATATATATAAAACTCTGACTGGATTGTCCTGGTGCTTGAGAAGCTGCAAAGAACCTGGACCACCTTACTGAAACATTACCATTTGAAGTAACATTTTCCACAGGTCTAATGAAGGATGAAAAGGTGCTGGAAGAACAAGTAGTCACAATTTTTCACCTGTTTTGAATGAGATGACTTAGATATCTTGCCACTAGCTGAGGCCACACCATGTCGTCCCATCCAAACAGCTGCATCATTGATAGAACAGGCTGTGGCTGGAGATCTGAAAGGGCTTTGCTGGGTATATCCAAAGCTAAGAGAGTAAAACCTGTTTTCAAAGAGAGAAAAAATATCTTAATAGTTTCTCAGTACATCCCTGTTCCACTAAAAAGCATTGAAAATTAATTACAATTAACAGTGTGCAGCCTGGGCAACTGTTCTAACAGAGAGTGCACCCACGTCAAAAATGTCTCTATCCCAAGCAATTTCTAAGTCATCAAGACACACTGGCTGCAAAGGAGGGAAAATGGATCCAAACATATGCAATTTTAAATAGATTCACAAACCCATATATTATAAATCCTGAAGGCACAACCTGCTTGTTTGTCTTGACCTCCCTTTCTTACCTTCATCCACTACATCTTCCCTTGTACAAGTAAGTATTACTGTGCTTTACAGGGTTGAGTTTTATTTATTTGTTTTGTTGTTTTTACACATTTCTCAGAGTGAAGAACTGTATCTGTAAAGAATTTCTCTCAGTAAAAGCTGGTACCTTTGTATTTTTAGAATAGGCTTTCATGTATCAAAATTTACCATACAAATAAAGCCCTGTAGACAAGTTTACTCTTGGAAAGGATCTTCAAGTAACAGTTGCAGATCTAGAAACTGGGGCAGTACTTTGTGCATAATTTTGTTAATGAAGCATAACCTTTTGCTGTTTCTGTTATGTTTACTGTACAATCTATATCTAACACTATCAGAATAAAAAATACAGTGCATTCTTTATATTGAAAATGACAAGTATACTAAAACTCAGAAAGAAAACGTAATCTGAAATGCTGAGTGGTTTTTTGGCTATAGGAAATAAGAAGCATCAAACAAGTCAGGAAAACTGAATTTAGAGGGCAATGGAAAAGGGGCTCACTAGTTCCCAAATTCTCCAGTTCAAGTTAGATATACATTAATATTAAAATAATTATAAACCTGCATGCATTGAAAAGATTAATTAGATGGAAAAGGCTAGTTTTCAGAAACAACAATGACATTATTTTTATTAATGGTATAGGGGCAGACTACCTTAAGCCATGAAGGAGTTCACATTTCCTTATGTGCCTTTGAAAAAACAAACTCTCTATATATATAGAGTCCCCACGCTGCCTTAGGTGAGGAAGCATTTTGTGGCAGCCTTTTTCCAGAGATTTCTGCAGCATCAGCCATAACATAGTTTGGGGAGAAATGGGAGACAGAAACAGTAATGTAAGTCCCAGGCTATTTGCCTGGCAGGGGGAGCAGGAGAGCTGTGACAGCTGCTCTCTCCTCTGGGCTGCAACCTCTAAGGCAAGAAGCTCATACAGTGCAGGAAAGGTTTGCCTTCCTCTGTAGTGCTACCTAACACATCTCTATAAAGCAGGTCACAACTGCACTCCCCTGCTTCTCAGAGGAGTTTATAATAGGTTGCTGCTCTTGCTATTTCACTGTGCTAATATAAAATAATAATAAAAAAAAAAAAGATATGACACTGTAGGAAATGAATGAAGTTTGACATTAACAACCTCTTCCTTTGATTTGTATTGCTGTTTCTCACAGACGCTTCAGTGGTGTGAAACCACTACTGTTGCACACTGCCTCCTTCATTAATGTTACCTCCTAACTACCACAGAGCTGCTTTAAATGAAGCATCTTGTAGCTTTTCCATTACCAACTCAGTACTCCTGAGCTTGTAACTTTATCTAATTCATATCATGAAGGGAAAAAATATTTTATATTTCACTCCTCTGAATTTTAGTTAAATGGATACAAGATCTCATTGTAACTACAGAATACAATGCTAGCTACAGATGTTAAAGATCAAACTGGGATATCTTTCTATTCACTGCCAAGCTGACTTGTTGCATGTGGAGTTCACACACATATGGAATGTTTACTTCAAGGTTAAACACCTCCATATTATGAAATATTTTTATGACCATAACGGTTTGGCTAAAAACAATTGTCATATAAGCAACCTTTTAAAAATTGTCATTTTCAAATGAAAAATATTATTTTTAAATATTTAGTTTGTATTTCAACCATAATGAATAGTTCAACACAAAATTATAGTAAACTTCTACAAAAGTATGTAAATATAGTGAAAAACATTATTCTTATTTATATTGTATAACATTTGCAACGTTGATTATAATCTGTGACTAGTAGTGAAAAAGAAGCCAGGTTTGTATAGCTTCAAACCCCTTTGGTGTTCTCAATCTGTTTGTATACTATTAAGGAATTCAACACTATAATACTTCTTTGTGTCAAAACATTTAGCATAGAATCTACTTTTTTGCATTTATGCATAGTTAAATATCTCAAAATACAAAATCCTTGAAAATGTTGTGACCCAGAAAATAGCACCAAATCCAGTAAGTCGCGGGGGGGGATCAGTGCTAACCTGCAGCTGTATCAGCAAGCTGAGGGGAAGGGGGCATCTGTGACATTCTCTGGCTCTTCAAGTAGGGAAAGAAATTTCTCCAGAGAGCACTGGCGACAGCAAGGTGGTGCTCTTTAGCCACTAATGGAAGCTGTGCGTCTGGGACTATGTTCCCCAGCTGAAGCCCCTGGCTTACACGTTCATGCACACTCCTAGGAAGAAACAAAAACAATGTTTACGTTCAATAAATGAAAAATTCACATCTTTTTAAAAGGCATTTACAACTACTTTAAACTGTAGAGCCTGGGAACTGAAGGATCATTTTGTGCAATTAAAACCTTTATGCAAAGATATTATGCATACCAGTTATTTGATGGATGAATGATGGCATATTAAGCACCATAAAGTTAATGTTAATTACTAATGTCAACCATTAATTATATGCTTTTTAATATGTCAGATCAAAATGAGAAATTGGCAGCTTTAAAATGAATATCTGCATTTTGCAACTGCTAGCATGACAAGCAAGTCTGCTTCCAATCCAAAGCCAGGTGCTTCTTTAAAATTTTTGTCACCAGAATTTTTAGGATAGGGTTGTGTTCAGCAAATAATGGCAAATAATTTTGATCAATTGTAAAGCTTCCTTCCAAAATCTACTTCTCATTTGTAAAACCTCAGTAGGTACGAGTTTAGATAAAAGATTCATTTTATCCTGATGCACTGCATACAATTAGGTTTGACAGCAATGCCCACAGCTTTGTTAGTACAGTAAAGACAAAAGTTACCACTACACATAACTCCCGTCTCTTCCGCAGACAATGTGGCATGAATTCAATAAGGCACTCAATTTTCTTTGATTCTTCTAGTACCATTCCTGCTACTTAATCTAATTTGGAAGTTGTGACTTTCTAGAGGTTTAATAGAGATATGTCTGCAGGGAATCAATGTTCTCAGAGAAATGGGAGGGGGGGGAGCATTAATAAATTTGTCTGGTAGAGCAGGATAGGAGGCATTACAGTACCGGGCTGATCAACTAAATAACATGCTTATTAAAAACAATCTGTAGGAACGCACTATCATTCCTGTTCCTATTTATCTTCTGGTCAACTCAATTGAGATTGTGCATTAAAGCACAGGCAGCATTATTACATTTGCTTTATTAAATTCTATAAACAGCACTGTAAAGTCAGAGTCAAGATATTTATAAGATAACAGTAAACAGCAGAGGCATTGAGACTTGCCTTAACACTAACATTTGTAGAATAATATTTTTCCTTAACTGCCATTCTCACAATAGCAATTGTTTCACAAAAATCTTCCCCTAGATCTTTATCCTATGCTCACCCTAATTTGAAATAAACCAAAACAAAAATAGAAAAACTGGTTCCCTTCTGGGAACATGGGAAAATTATGAAAGAATTACACAACTCGCAGAACTCATTAGGACATCTGAAATGGAATAATTTTAAATAAAGAGTAGGCTGGCTGCAAGGCCTTCCCATACTAGGGTTGATATTAGAAGCGCATCTCATTATATCAACTTAGTATCCAAAAATTCTGCGAAACACATAATTTAAAACATAAAACATTCTGGCTGCCAAAGGTAACGATACCTTATGCCTGCCTGCAGGTATTCATTAGTTTCAACAGGACAGACAGAGAATTGAGCATCAGCTACTTTTCGAATGGCTACATTTAGCAGACAAGGAAAGGTATGCAATATTTGGAGGAATCAAGTATTTCTTTGAGAGACGGCATGAATCCAAACACAGGAACAGAAGCCAGGAATTCTAAACCCAACATTTATTCCCACTGTGGCTTCACATAAATCATACAGCCTTTGTTAGCCTCAGTTTCCCAGCCATGATATTTGGATAGTAAGACAGCTTACCCTTTAAGGATGCTGTGAAAACAATCAATGCTTAGAAACTGAGGATTATATTCGGTATGTCAGGTGGTATTCCTATTTACAAGGCATATTCTCAAGTCAACATGAATTGAAATAGAAGCAAGATTAGCATAAAAAGCCAAGCAACACTTCTTTGGGAGCATCCCCTTATTAAAAAAAGGACAAAGAAAAGGGTGAAGATATAGTGAGGTCTAGAGGATACACAAAAAAAAGTAAAAGCAAGGCTAAAGAAACAAAAAAATTATTATTGCCTATTACAAAAAAAGTGTAACAGTACAAACAAAGGGCTTTTCTGTTTTATTTTGTTAAGAAAGGAACGTATGATGCCTCATAATGCAGAGAATAAAACTTCTGGGACCAAATTCTGCCCTACTGACATCCAGACTATGCTTTAAAATCGCACAAAGACCTTTTTCTCTCCTCTAAATTGCCTCTCCAAAGACGGGTGCCTTGCATCTCCTTTAGCCATCTATGCAAAGTAGAAGGGTGTACAGACTTCCAAAGTAAGGTAATATATCTCTGTGTCAGTGGAAGGGCAACACGTACAGATCAGTATTTATGTTTATTCATAGTAACCTACACAAATGCTTGCAATAAGGTAAATGCTTAGAATCGATGAGGCATCAATATATGCTGCAGCTGATGTAGCCAGCTACTTCTACCAACAAGCACATTTTTTAACTCTATAAAAATATAAATAAATGTAATTTTACTTTTTATTCAGCCTTCTATATTTTTCTAACACTAGACAAGCATACCATCAAACATCACTCCATTTCTAGAACTTTATCCATTTAGCTTCCCATTGCGTTAAGAGCTCTGGAACCACCAGTTGCCTCATTACAATGGTAACTTGCTGTGGTTTTTACTTGATTTAAATCATTATTTCCTACTACTGTAAAAAGAGGTGTGTTTTTTTTCTCATTTTGCCATCAGATCAAATAAACTCTGGGTTTATTAAAGAGGATTGTGCTGGATGTATAGGTACAGTAGTAGCATATGGGATTATTTTCTACATCCTACACCTGGTAAGGAATTGGAGCCATTTATTTCTCTGCATGTAAATATTATAATTTTATAATCATAAAACATGACCTTGCAAGCCTGCATTACTAAAATGGAGCCAAACTTTAGGTCTAGCCAGAAGAGTAAATACAAAAATTCAGCAGCCTGCCTAGATGATGGAAACTTTCAAATCACTACTAGTCCCTAATCTGCACTGCACACATATTGACATCCAGACTTAATGCAATATCATTTAATTTGATCTACAAGGATTCAGAACTTCCCATCATGATAGAAGACATCTCTCCTACCAGCATTGCCAAGAGCTACTACTATCAGGGACTCTCACAGGCTAAGAACACAGATCCTGGTTTCTTCCCAGCTCCTCAGCTCCCAGGCTAAGCCAGGCCATCCACAGCATCTACAAAACTCAGCTGCTCAGTACAGCCAAGATTAAGCTCGTGAAAGTCTTTTTAAAAGACCTGGATGACCTTTTGATGTTGAAACAAATAAATAATTACACCACCTGAAAGACCAACACCCTTGGATAAACTAGGAAATTGGGAAGAGATATACGAATATTTCTAAAATGATAAATGGTTTTGATGCTTAGAATTTCAACTACAAACACCAGTTACTTCAAGAAAACCTCAGGCAAAGTGAAATGAAGCAAAGCACCATCACACTCAGATTCAAAGAGAGGTAACAGGTGTTTTGTGCCCTGTGCAGATAAGTTGAACTGGAAAAATACCTAAATTTGGAGATTTCTCTTCCAAACATTTTCCCTCTTTTTACATCACTAAGATAATCAACACAGTTCATAGAATCATAGAATGGTTTAGATTGGAAGGGACATTAAAGATCATGTAGTTCCAACACTCCTGCCATGGGAAGGGACACCTTCCACTAGACCAGGTTGCTCAAAGCCCCGTCCAACCTGGCCTTTGAACACTTCCAGGGATGGGGCATCCACAACTTCTCTGGGCAACCTGGCTTTACCACCCTCACATATCTAACCTAAATTGCCTCTCAGTTAATACCATTACTCCTTGTCCTATCACAAGGCAAGGAAGGGATCCCTCTCTGGCTTCCCTGTAGGCCCCCTTCAGATACTGGAAGGCTGTTGTGAGGTCTCCATGCTAGCTTCTCTTAGCCAGGCTGAACAGTCTCAACTTTCGCAGCCTGTCTTTGTAGGGGAAGGTACTCCAGTCCTCTTATCAGCTTCACGCCCTTCCTCTAGACTTACTCTGACAGGTCATATCTTTCCTGTGCTCAGGTCCCCAGCGACCTCCACGTGGGCAGAATCACCTCCCTCCACCTGCTGGCCATGCTTCTTTTTGATGCAGCCCAGGATATGGCTGGCTTTCTGGGTAGTTTCTAATTTTGATATTTTGGCAACAAATGCATTGTGCGTTGGTCCTATTTTAACGTAACCACAGATGCAGGAATAGAAGTGACTAGGAAAGTGGAGGCTTCTTCAGCTCTGGGGTAGCTATGAAGATTTCAGCATACAGCACCAAAAAGATATGGAGATTAGCTGATGCAGAGAACAATAAAGTGAGAATTTTGACATCATAAGACAGAAGAACTTTACATTCTCTCAACAAACCCTGGACACGGGTGATGTCAGCTACTCGGCAATGTGTGCAACAAAGCTATCAGCTGAAAATCTTCCAAAAATAAAAAGCTGCATTAATACAATGAAAAGTATGTGTGTTGCTGCTGAAAAGAGTAGCAACAAGCTACACATTAAACATAGCATTAAAATAATATCCAAAATAGAAGTGCCAGTGTTGATACATCATACAGAAAGGTGCTTTTCCTTCCCTTCCCCCTTCTTATTTGCCAATACAAAGAAATTATATAGCACTATTGTATGAGAGAAGATTGGGCTTTCCTGTAGAAATCTATCTAGTCATGTTTTCTGTGGTTGTATAAATCTTACAGCAAGGAGATTTAAACTCAAAATTTGTGCTACTGCTACAGGTGCAAAACTCAGACCTCTGCTACACAGCAGTACCACTCAGCTTTCAGTGACCAAACAACATTTAGCACACCATTTCAGAATTAAGTTTAAAATTACTCATCCAATTTCACTTCCTTCAAATGCCATATACCATCAACATTTTTTAATAACTCTACTGATTTCTTCCTGTCATTCTACCAGAACTGTTTCTTATGGTGACCAGAACTGGAAGCCACACATATTTCCAGTAACTAGTCCTATCCAAGATTAAGCTTAAAAAGATCCTTGTGTGTCTTCCGTATGCCTTTGAAAATAATCCAGTATGAGTATTC